TTTTAGTCTGTTTTTCAAAAGAGAAACTGCCTGTTTAATACTGGAGACTTAGAAAGAATTATTGGTTTATAGTCTAATAAATCCTGGTTGGTTTGGCTATTACAGAGGAAGGGCATCAGGCTAAGGGCCAGAAATAAGAACATTACTTTTTCAGGGTGCAACGAAAGATTGGCACAATTTATTTATTAAGCTTAAAAGTTTGGCAGCGTGGACTTGGCATCCTAACTATGAAGAGAGATGCTGTAAAGCTGATGCAACAAGCTCCAGGGCTGAAGTTCTAACCACCAGTTCAACTAACTGAATTCATGCAAACACTACATTTCCTCCTCACATTGCTAAACAGCAGCATGAACAGTTGTTAAAAAAAAAAAAACTCCAGGCTGATCCTCCCGCAACCTATGCATGACATGTATTTTTCATGCTAAATAAATAATAGTTTATATTGTTTTGAAGGTTCTGTAGCTCTGAGTATGGAGGTGTTGTGCATTCACCAAAGAGACAGTTGAGGGAGCATCTTATAATCGTGACTTCCGTATTGCATAATTATGACTAATTACATGATCAGGATCTTGCGGGGGCCCACAGATCAGATTGTCTAAATTCATTTAAAATTCTCCTCCACACTTCCAGTACAAAGAATATTAATAGATGCAAAAAAGCAGAGACTGCTGCAGGGATTGGCACTATGTGGATCGGTGCAGAAACTCTCCTGGTTTTCATAAAGCAGACCCCTGGGCCTCCAGAGACAATGGTTGCTCATCCCTGATCTAGTTTTGAAAGGCCAGGCAGGACCGGGAGTCTGAGGTATGCACTGTCATGCTGTGTATCCTCAGTCATCTATCAAACAACACACACACACACACACACACACACACACACACACACACGGTCATCCTGTTATTATTTCCTCTGTATTAATGCAGGTTTCCTGCTGCTCTCCATAGACTGATCAATCACAGTTGGCCTCTATTCTGAGCATCTGGCTCTCTGGCTGCTAGGTCTGCCATTTAAAACGCTTTTTTTGTTTGTCTACGAAGCAGAAATGGGGATTAATGACAGTCTTACAATACACCTGTGTGTTGCTTGGAGGCTTGTTACAGTGGAGGAAATGTCAGCGCACTGTAATGAGGCTCTCTGTCATGCAATAAAACAGAATAACAGCAGACAGGAGGTAATTCTCCGCAACTGGAGGGAAACTGTTTTGTTCTATCTTCTCTACTTGTTTAACTTTTGCTGTTGCCCAGTGTTGAAAGATAAATAATATCATGCTAATGTTGTTATCACTAGGGCCTGACCGATATGAGATTGTTAGGGCCCATACCATTATCGATATTAGGGATAAAAACAAATCTGATACCGATATACTGGCCGATATCTTTCTTTTATCTATTTTAGATCTGTAGGGATAGATAGACTTACACACATGTATTATGTTGATCCCTCAAATGCAGTTAACTAACACTTGTGGAAAAGATATACTATGAAGAAAAGATGGTCACTAGAAAGTTACTGCACACGTATGTGCATCACTGCTTGACACCATGGAGAGTGATAATGTTTGTGATATTCTATAAAACACACTCTGCTGGTGACAGAGAACTGCTGATGTAATCTGATGATTCTAAATGAAATTCTGTTTGACTAGTGAATCAACCTAGTTAAATCGGCATATATCTGTGATAAAAGTAGCTGATACTGACAGTCACTTGATGCTAATGCTTACTAGCGAATGCTAATATTGGCTGATATTATCGGCTGAATAATCGGTAGGGCTCTAATTGTCACATTATTGAACAGTGGATTAAATAGTGTGAATAGTAGGAAGAGGTCATTAACAGTGATTAACATGTGGACAATGATCAACAGTTTTCTTCTGCAGCTCTGCGTGGAGTTTTAGCCTCTTTCTGCTTGTTGTTTTGAATTTTTTAGCCCCCAATGTTACTATTTTGTTCAGTCACCGAGCTTTCTTTGACTTAAATTTGCTGTTTCCCCGCTCATAAAACAGCAGTTTGACCTCCCCACAGCACAACACAGCACACAAACATCGTGATAGTCCATCTGGTTGAATATAAAAATGGACGGAGGCCAAAAAAAAGCTAAAAGACTCAAGCCCTATTCGCACGGGACTAGTATCACCTGGGGACCTCGATTTAGAAATTATTCCACCACGTCTGTGTTTTAACTCGAATTTACTGACATTATCCCCCGGATATGATGTCAAGTGTTAACCTTTCCTGATTCGGCGTTCCGACCGTGATCTGATTGGTCTGCTTCAGGGCCAAAGTTGTAGCCCTCAACTTCGGGACTCACCCCCGTCACTTTAAGTGGGGTGCAGCAAGTTGTAAACAGACACGGAGAGTCCGGCTTGTTACTTGAGGTGTCGGGCCGTTTATTACGCACACAGAGCTCAAACTGTACATACACTTCAGATGCTGACTAGTTTCTCTGCGCGTTTTCTACTCCGGTCCCCGGCATCAGTGACGTGCCTCTCGCACACACCTGCCGAACACACACTCCCCTCGTTCTCTCTCTCTCTCTCTCTCTCCTCACTCGCACTGAGCCATTCACAGACAGACATACGCTACTCGTATAACACAAGGCTCTGCGTAACCTACGCGTACAATATAGAAACATGTTCCATTTATGTAATGCATCTTATCATCTTTGGAGATTTCTCTCTTCCGATGGATTTGAGCTTGCTCTTTCTGTGAATGGGTCTCCATGCTGTGTAGCTAGATAAACCTCCTGAATCTGCACCCAAAGTGCTGTCAACACTTTCATTTATAATTGCCAACGGAGCCTGCATAATTCTCGACCGGGAAAAATAATAATAATAACTTTATTTATATAGCACCTTTTAAAAACACAGGTTTACAATGTGCTTTGACAAACAGCAAGAACAAAGCAAACTAAACCAAACACAGAAAAACATTAACAACAGTAAGAATATAACAGATGCAAAATACCAAAAATAATTAAATACAATTCAACAGAAAAGAACCCAAAGTGCACGATACACAACCAGACATATATAACCCGACCATCACAAGAACCATCATAAGAACCATCATAAGAACCCAGGAAACACAAGAACCCAACAACACGAGCTGAGACCAAGAGGACCAAAGATTTAGAAAGGTGTAAGAAACTAAGAGATAAAAGCAAATAAAAAGCAATAAGAAGGTAAGAGCAGTAAAAGAAATAAAAACAAGTGGTTAAAGGATCAAAAAACCCAAAACTATAATATTAATAAAAATAAAAATTAACTATAAATACGAAACATAAATAGACAAAGTAAGTAAGATAAGAAATTACCAAGTTAAAACACAAGAGGAGATTAAGATATGAGCATAAATACGAGATAAGACCATAAATAAAAGGACAGTAAGAAGTAAAAGAAGATAAAAATAGTAAAACCAGTAAGAGAAGACATTAAGAAGACGACAGCACATAAAAGCAAGTCTGTAAAAGTATGTTTTAAGAAGGGATTTAAAAGAATTGAGGGAATCTGCAAGTCTTATCTCCTCAGGGAGGTCGTTCCAAAGTCGAGGGGCCCTGACTGAAAAGGCCCGGTCACCTTTAGTTTTAAGTCTCGACTTTGGAACGACCAGGAGGCCCCCCACCTGAGGATCTAAGACTGCGGGCTGGCTCATATGGTGTCAGTAACTCTGTTATATAGCTTGGAGCCAGCCCCGTCTCTGCTTTAAAAGTAATGAGTAAAATCTTAAAATCGATTCTAAAACGTACAGGAAGCCGGTGTAATGAAGCTAAAATTGGAGTGATGTGATGTCGTCTGTTACAACCAGTAAGAAGCCTAGCTGCTGCATTTTGGACCAGCTGGAGGCGGGACAGTGACTTATTTGTGATTCCGGAAAAGAGGGAGTTACAGTAGTCAAGTCGGGAGAAGATGAGGGCGTGGATGATCTTTTCAAGGTCTCGTTGGGTTAGGATTGTTTTAATTTTGGAGATGATGCGTAGATGGAAGAAGCTTGATCGGACAACTGTTTTGATATGGGATTCAAAGGTGAGATTGCAATCAAATGTTATTCCTAGATTTCTGGCGGTGGGTTGGACATTGGCGAATAAGGGACCGAGGCTGCTCTTTGAGATATGAGTGGTGTTTGGCGGGTTGAATACTATGATTTCAGATTTAGAATTGTTCAGTTGGAGAAAGTTTTGTGCCATCCAGCAGTTGATATCGTTTAGGCAGTTTCTGACAGCAGCTAGGCTCCTAGGGTCCTCAGGTCTCAAAGGAAGGTATATCTGTGTGTCGTCTGCGTAGCAGTGAAAGGAGACATTGTGGCGTTCAATTAAGGCAGAAAAAAGGTGCGGAGAACACAACAAAACCAAAAAACTACCCCAAATCACTCACAATCCTGAAATGAATGATAGAATATATCATTCATTAAAGAGGCTTTAGTAGAAGGTCTGTGAATGTAAAGTCACCGTTCTACACGCCTTTCTGAAACAAGGGCCCCTTGCCCTTTCCTTCCATATTAAGGGGCTTGGTGTAAATTGTGGTAGAGGGGATAAAGTCCCTCATACTGTATATGTTTTTGGAGATTTTGAGAGCTCTGTCTGTTTATGTAAATCTTTTAAAAGCAAATCACAAACAGGCTGTTTCTGAAAAGTGAATCGTGGCTGCGCACTTCTGCACTTTTGCCCATGTACCATGCATTTGCACTCTGTATGTTTTATGTATTGTCTGAGAGTTTTAAGTTGAAGTGACTCTCCCTGCAACCACATTTACCTACAGGTACAAATAAAGTAATCTGAACCTGAACCTGAACCTCATTGGTCTAAAGTTAATCAATAATAACTTAATTTCAAGAGCAGCAGTCCCAAAACATTTTGAAGCTTTTATTCAAAAAATAAAATTGTCAGATTCTGCTTAACTGCATTGTGCCAGCACTACGTAGCAGGACGCTGCATTATTCCAGTATCAGAAGAAGAATTTCTCGTCTAATTGCATTGTCTGTTTGTGTGCCTTTTTGTTGCAGATGTCGCTCCTATGAAGACTGCTGTGGGACTCGCTGCTGTGTCAGAGCCCTGTCCATCCAGAGACTATGGTACTTCTGGTGAGTCGCAGTTGGGACTGTGTCTATCGTTTTTTTCCTCTGATCGAGTATGACAGAATGAGCTGCCGTGCTGAAGGCCCATGCAGGCCCCCAAGTGCCACACTCCAATTCATCTGCATGACTTTGCTAAATGTTAAGTGGTAGAAGCTCGGTGATGCGGACGCTTCTCATAAAAATGAATGAATAGATACAATCCATTGTAGCTGATGATCAAGCACGAACGCGCTCAGCAGGGACACGATAACACTCTTCTCCCTGAGTTATTTCTGTTTTATCTCCACTGTGCTCTCCACCCAATTTGTTTTCGGAGAAGGGGGAAAAACACTTTCCATGCTGACAAGGCAAGCTTAACAATTGCTACTAAATGTCAATTTGGCAGAGAATAAGCTTGGTGTGTAAATGGACAGTAGACCAACCTAGCCATAGTTTCATGAAAGTCGAGCACACGTGTGTCTGTATAAAACGTGTCAAAATGGCAGAGAGCTGACGGGCAACATGAAATAGATGATGAGCCTTAACTTGAACCTTTTTGCAGAAATAGTCATTATAAGGTGGTTCCATACAAAAACAAGAAGAATCCCTTGCAGTTAGCCAAGATCACATAATTAGCCAAAACTGACCAGGGGATGCAGTTTTTTGTTTTTTTTTACAATAATATTTACTCATTTATGGCAAAGAAATGAGAGCAGAATCATTCATAGCACTATTTTCAGCCAGATTTGAGCTGACATGATTTGTTTGTTTGCCTTTCACTGGAGAAAGATGGGCAGAAACTTTGCAGCTGAAACAAAATGCCAGTAGTCCGTGTCCATCTGAGAAGTCCTGGCATCTATCCTAGCCGACACATCATGAAACCCGGCACTGGTTTTCCCCAGAGTAGCCGGAAGTGACTGTACAGTAAATCCAGACTTAGTTCTTGGAGACGCCAGCCAAATTCATCGAAATGTCTGCACCTACACACAAACATCTTATTTTATCAAGAGCTCAGATTTGGGCTTTTCTGATGTTGCTAGAAGGGCGTATGTTCACAAGTTTTGTTTTACTGATTCAATTTTTCACAAGACAACGTATCTGCTTCTGATATGAACAACTAATGAGACGAGCTATTGTGATTTAAGATCACAAAGTGGTTTGTAATATGAATCCAGAAAAGAAATCACACATCTGAAGTTTTTCTGCCATCAGAGGAGAGGACGACATGACTGCATAACCCTGTGAACCTTTCTGATTCTGAGTGTTCACCATTTTGCCCACTGTTCAGTGCTGCATTAAGCAAAATTAAAATAAATAAAAAATAACATGGCACTGAGAGACAGAGTAGAGAAATAGCTTTTTATGGACACATCACCTCAGGGAACACAGTTTTTATTGAACTGTGTAATTCAGCGAGATGAGGGATTGACAGCGGGTGGGTCAAATATACCTGACAAAACAATACCCTCGTTTGCCGCTGTGTGCAACCAGGCGTGACTCTGCTGTGACAGGTCATGGAGCAGGTACCTCTGTGCCTGCCTGCTTCATTGCAGATAATACTTGAAAAGGGTTCCCGACTAGATGCTTAAATGGAATTGAAACCCGGAATAAAGTCTGATCTCTTTCCACTTTCCTTCCTCTCCATAGAGTCTTTCTGCTCCTGCTGGACCTACATGGGTGTATTGTTGTTGTTGATTCAGTAAAAGCTCAAAAACGTCCTTTTTTTAAAAAATCCAGGGTGCTGCTGATGATGGGAGTATTGTTCTGCTGCGGTGCTGGCTTCCTGATCCGCAGAAGGATGTATCCCTCCCCTCTGAGAGATGAGCCAGCCTTCAACGTCTCCTTCACCAGGCACCCAGTCAACTCACCCGGTACAGTAGTAAACATAATGACACAAATGAAAAGGCAAACACAATACCTTCAACCACATATAAAGGGCACCATATGCAGTATAAGAAAATAGAAAATGTGTTTTACATGTCTACTGTTTTAGACAGAACATTGAGGTGATTGTTAATTGCGGTGCAGCTGGACTACCACAGTAGAGGCAATTCATATTTGAAGGGTCTGCATGGCGGTGCATCAGGTTAGCGCTGTTGCCTCACAGTGAGAAGGTTCCTGGTTCGAATCACTGTCGGAAAGAGCATCTCTGTATGGAGTTTGCATGTTCTACCTGTGGGTTCTCTCCGGGTACTCCTGCTTCCTCCCACAGTCCAAAGCTCCATTCTCGTTAGGTTAATTTGTGACACTAACTTGCCCGTAGGCATGAATGAGAGTGTGGATGGTTGCCTGTCTCTATATAGCCGTTTTCACATATATGCCTGCTTCGGATATTCTCCTCACCTGGCTGTTCACCTATACACCTCACAGGTGAGCAGAGAAGAACATACTGATGAACAGAAAACATAATGCAGCGGTCTCATGTATACACTCTATGCACCATGCAGCACTCACAATATATAAACGTAACCACCCCCTCCCATTGGCTTGAGGTGAATTCTCCAGAGAATATCCTGCTGCGTTCTCACGTCAGCTCACACAGATTTGTTGCTGAAAAAATACTATAGGGGTCTTGCAGGAGAAACTCCGGGTGAAGTCCGAACGAAACATTTGGTTGTTTGCATTCACACATACAGCTCCTCCTGGAAATATCAGTCGTTTCTTTTGTTTTCTGCAAGTGTGAAAGCACTATTTGTCAATCCTGTGATTGACCAGTCCAGGGTGTACCTGCCCCCCGCCCAATGACAGCTGGGATCAGCTCCTGCCCCCTGCGAAAAGCGGTATAGATAATGGGTGGATATATTTGAAGGTATTCAGAATACAAGTAATATTGTTGTAATATTGTTATTATTAGATAATATATTTTGAATCATGGGGTGAGTTAAATTCCTTCTTTTCAAACAGAGTCATTTCCCATACTTATCTAATCCTGTTCATTGTGACCAACAGTGTGGTCTGAAAGGATACTTCATTAAAAACTCTGGATTTTGGAGAAAAGTAGAGCAGCTGATAATGAGTCAGCCAAGCAGAACATTAAGAGCTCCAGTAATAACCTCCATGTAAAAGCAAATTCTGCAGGAATACTGAACACTAGAGAGAAGTCCCAGAGGAGGTCATCATCACTGGTTTCTCTCTGATGAACTCCAAAAAGAGTCTCTTTCAAAGGTTGCTGCCTCTAATCATTGCTGACATTCTGCTATGAGCATATGAGAGCTATGAGCATTTCATCAGAGTCCTTTCCAGGCTGTGTGGACTGTTTCCAAAAATGTAACCTCTAAAGACAGAGCTAAATGGAGAATCTAAGTGATGTAACCATGCAAATGTTCAACATCAAACCATCAGCAAGACTAATAAGTGTTGGACACAACTGGAAGTTACAGCAGGAATATTCCCTGAAACAAAAGGCCAACCAAGAGCTGGACTTTTGGTAAATGCAAGTCCTTGATCAAGATGAATTATTTTAATATGAACACTGCCTTTCAGAGTGAAGCCAGATAAAGTTAATGGGGCCCCATTCACCAATATCTTCTGTAGCGTTTTCGTACAAAATTTTTTTTAAGAAGATTTCAAAGAAGACGCTCCGTTTGATTCACCAACGTGCTCTTAAATGACTGAATTGTTGGCAGCTGTGTTCTTATCTTCTTGAGCTCATGTTGTTCCCAATTAGCATAGGTAACCGCCTACTAATGCCCATAAAAGGGCATGGCCCTGAAACACAGAAACCCATGCTGGTTGCGCAACAGAAGCTTGTGGAGATGTCTTAATGGAGAGCCCAATATGGCGCCGGCAGAGCAACGGACCCCTTACAGAGAAGAAACTTGATCAATTGTGAAGTGGAGGTACTACTTCAGGAGGTCAGCAGAAAACAAATTGTTTGTAGCCTGACTTTTTAGCTCAATGAATAGATTACAGGGCAATGGGCTCAAGGTGAGGCATGACTTTATATGTCCTTTCTTAATGACAGTTTGAGGTTTTCTGTGTACAGCTGTAGATAATTAAATCATAGCCGCACTTATCCAGTAAATATATGAGAATGTAAAATGTCTATTAATAGCCCAGGCTTTTATTTAATTCAGTCTTTGAAATGACCCTGCCTTTTTAGGGGGGCAGGCGACAATGCGAGACTGTTTTTTTATTTTACCAAAACCTGTGCACAGCAAAGATGGGACAAAAGGATATTTAAACGTGTACAAATTAGGATATCAATAAACAAATTGAATAAATTCTAGACCTGAGGATCAGATCATCTGCATAACCATGATGGACAATATGAGAAGATTTCAAAATAAAAGCAACATGTCGACTAGAAGGCAACATATGGCTCTGACACACCGAGGAGATCGTCGGCCGTCTGTCCTAGTTGGACCATCAGTGAGCGGTCTACGCCCTAGTTTTTGCGCTGTCTCCGTCTTTGTCGCTACCAGTCGTTGTTGCCATTTTTTTTGGGCCTTTTCGACATGTTGAATCGGCGTCTGTGAGAGGAATCTCTCTGATTGGCTGTCAGGAGGTTTAATTTATCTCCAGCTCTCACAGGTTCAGGAAAGCCCCTTGAGCATGCTGTAGTATCCATGCTTAGTATCAGACATTATTCTCGATTAGTAGGCTACCTATAATACGAGTGGTGACAGACAGCGGTGTGAAAATGGTCTTCTCTTATCATAACAACGGACTACCGCCGCCTGCTGGCATGGAGAGTTATTTCCTCTCACATGTGCAGAATGTACATGGTGGTTGGCCGTCAGCTGTAGTCTTTGCGGTGTGTTCTAGCGCAAGACAAAAGGCGACGCCACAGGCGGCCTTCATCACCACTAGTTCTTTGCCATCTGCTTGCTGTGTCAGGGCCTTTAAACCTCTTTTTTAAGAAATGATTACAGGTCTGAACCATGACTGACTTGATCCATTGTGTGTCGATTTTGGTGACAAAGAGGCACCTCTCATCTCTTTGTTTCTTTTCATCCAGTTCTTGTGTAAGTCGTGTTTTGTGATGAAAAGCTTTCTTAAAACAGTCAAGACATATCACTCACAAATTCTCACAAAAATTCACAAATTTTTGCTGTGGAAAATGTAAAGAAAGAAGAAGCTGTTTCTGCAGCGAGCTGTTAATCTCCTTTTCTGAAACGTACTCAGCAACAGCTTTAAAAAAATACTATAAAGAAATAGTAAATGTATTCGCTTTGTTTTGTTTGCTTTTGTAAGTAACACAGAGGCTTTAGAATTAAAGACACAGTATGTATATTCCACCACCACCAGGGGGCTCTCAGTCAAAAAGATGACATTGAGGCTGACGGGGAATCATGGGAGTGATACTCCTCCCCACACCTCCTCACTAGAGCTTTGAATAAAAGATGAAGTAAAATTCAGATGATACTTAACATTACTTGTTCTCTTTTTGTTCCAGTTTCCCAACAGCCAGGGAGTATGCAAGGCTTCGGGGTCAACGGGATGACAGGCGGTGACCCAGGGGTTACCATGACACACCCTGCGTACCCCGCTCAGCCCGGCCCTGCACATATGATGATGGCCTCCTATCCTCCACCTCCATCATACTGCAACCACCCACCCCCATCCTATGAACAGATATTTCAAAACAGCGACAAGAAGTAATATACACGAGAAACGTACAAAATGGAACTCGACGAGGATAAGCAAAGAAAGGAGGCATGTAGAGGCTGAATATTCACAAGGTTCACATGAAGATGAGGACGGGGAGAGCTTGCCAACTCTTTTGCAAAATGAACTGTTGAGGACGTAAGACTTTAAGAACACACCCTTTTTTTTGTCCTGCAGAAAAAGACAAAAAGATGCACAGTAACTAGATCAAGATGCACAGAAATACCCTCATCCACTCACATACAGTGCTTCTTCATCTGAAGTGCTCCATGTACTCTTCATTATTGTGAATCCATGTGTACAGTGACCCTCTCAGCCTTTGTTGATCTGAAGACTTGCAAGAATTGAACCATTAGTTAGGAGGTTTTGGATTCACATCATGCCACCTGTCCCCACTTCCCCTTTCAATGCAGCTAAAGCTAAAACGGTGCAGAGCCCAACAGAACATCACAGTCAAACTCATTGTGTAATAAAATGCTGGGGTTTGTATGTATTAACATACAGTTTTTTTCATAATTGTGAACTGAATAGCTGAAAAATAAGAAAACAAATTAATCAAAAGATATTGGGAGTCACATAAGAAAGCTATTGCAAGTATGTCAAGAACTTATTTCCTATCCAGCATTTTACTGCAAGATGGGCTCTTAACTAAATGATGAGTTCTTGATGAATTTTTTATAACAGTATGTGTAGTCCAGTTATGTAAAGACATAATGAGCTGTACCAGTAGTCACAGGCTTGTTCTCCTGTTAGAGGCAATGTTCCCCACAAGATGAGTCAGACATGAACAGTGACGCCGAGATGGAGCAGAGGCTGATCGTATGCCAATCAGGTTTTAACCAAATATAGAGTCTCAGTGGTGTTTCACTTGATGATTTGTACACTGCTGCTGTTGAACATTTGATAATAAAATAGCATGACATGCTTAATTTTAGATACTGTGTAACAGTTAGTTTAAGCTACGACTACGGACTGTGTAAAACATGGATGTAGTCTCAGCAATGTCACCCACTGATTTCTTAAGAGGCATTTTAAAGCCAATCCATTGGCCGTCAACATATCAGAAATGCTTTCTCCATCAAACATTCGGTCAATCAAAGAAATGAGCTATTGATATCGAAGTCATCTTTTGAACCAGGCTGCGAACATGTTTATTTCTGCTGTAAAATTTGCATTTTAATATTGGACCTAATGGCGCTTCCTGGGTTTTTGCAGCCGGCCTCAAGTGGACACTCGAGGAACTGCAGCTTTTTGCACTTCCGCATGGACAAGTTGTATAATCTAAGCATTTTTTCTACACTGAAGGTTGCCATTTGGCAATAACCTTATGTCATCTGGTGGATAACCGGATGAATTTGCCTCTCTGGCTACTTATGAGTTCCAAACAGCTAGCATAGCGAATGTAGCCTTCGATGGTTTTATCATAAATGCTAGCTATATGCTAGGACACACTTGTGTTATTTAAACTTGATAATGATCAGATACAATTCAAAAGACAGAAAACTCTTAGGTGTATGGTTGCACCAGCATTTAAAGTGTTAGAAATAATTGAAACATAATGAAAAAATTAAAGACTTGGTGACTTCAAAAGCAAACCCAAATTTTACACAGCTCTACTTCATCTTTACAGACCAAAAACTAGTTGTTTTGAACGACCTGACCTCCCAGAAAAAGGAAGTTATTCTTAGCTTGTTAGCTCTAGACGAATGGTTTTCAGTCAGTTAGGAGACAGTAAGCAGCAGTTTGAGACAAGTGGAAGTAAAATACCACTAGGAGTCAGCAAGTAACACTTGAACAAGTGGGCGGCCATCAGCCACTTTTCCATTGTTGCGCAACGGCATGGACATACTGACATGATGTGACATTGCACTGTAGGCCTATCATATGGAAAACACTTTTTTCTCATTCATTAAATGCAGAGGTAGTTGAAGGATCAGTTTGCCATGAATAATAATATGTACTGATTTTTAATTAAAATATTGGATGGATGAAGAGAAGTGGATGCAAATGGCTGTTTTTCTGCTCTCTCACTCATGCTGATGTTGTGGTTGACAATTATTGTGTTTTATAGGAGATGCAGCAGCGATATGTGCCACTCACCTGCTCAACCAATCCATGCCAATCACTCGAGCATCAAGCGGCTCATGGCAACTTTGGGCAATCACAGCATGCAACCTTTCTCCAGGGATTTGAAAATCAAGATCTATTGCTTAAAACTTGATGCTTTCGTGTCGTCATCCATAAAGCCAAACTAGGTTAAACTTCATATGTTCTCCATACACTTAATATAAAAATATTTATTTAATCAGAAGAGGCAGCAAGAAAACGTGCAAAATTTGCTGATTTCTAAAAATCCAGGAGTACTACAATAGAGTTGATAAGATAACAGTTTGTGAATAAAGAAGTCAATTGCAATGAAAACTGTTATTTAAAAGTGTTATTAGAGGTCTCTGGTGCAAATCAGAGGAGAAACAAGCCAAATGGGAGAAGACAATACTAACAAGATGAAGAAAAAAAAAAACTGTGTTTGCAGATTCATCAACCAGAAATGAAATGTGTCCAATATTCAGATCAAATGTGGTAAGAAAGAACAAGAACACAGTGTACCTGCACCTTTTCATTGCAAATTACAAGGGTTGTTATGAAGTGCTTCTAATCCAAATTTGAACACCTCTAACGCTCATAATTGTTTTTTCTTTGTTAATTTCACATTTAAAAGCCTCAAATCCCTGCATGCAGCTGCTGTTCACCAAAAACTGGTTCCATTACACGTGTTGTTATAACACTGCTGTGCTCAGATGAAACTGATGGCATACAGCATGGTAAACGTGGCCTTGAAGAAAATGTGTTTCTGAACAGATCTAAGCTAGCTGTAAAATGTTTTATTGATATAACATCCTCAACTTCAACTCAGAATGATGAACTGTTCTTCGATATCTGAGATTTCACTGAACCACATACACATACATTATTTTATTATTATTGTATGATTAGCAGTAGTACTGTTTATGCAAAGTTGGATAACGTATTGAAAAGTAGGCTGTGCTCATTACGATGGTTAAGTAATGCAGAAGAGGTAAAGTAATAATTCAGAGTACATGTATGAGCAGAGAGTGAACCTACATTTCTTTTTTATTCATGTCCACGTCATTTATTTATACACCTCCCCTGGTGTTGTGGGTGTTACATTGAACATAATTATACCTCTGCATAGTGATGGAAGGAAACTACACACACCTTATTTTGAATAATTCAGCATCTTTGTGTGCTGAGAGAGAGAGAGAGAGAGATAGAGAGAGATGTAGTTATCTTTTCTGAGACTTTGCTCACAGCAGGAGGTCGATCCTTTTCGTAGTAGAGATGACAGAAAAGTCAGCAGGTTCAGAGGCAGACAGATCTCTCTAAAAACAGGAAACCCAACACAATGCATTACATCAGTCTGCTATCACACTGATGTTGAATACCCTGACCTGCTTATCATAAAATGTGTACAAACTCACAAGATGATGGCATATCTAAGTGAGTTTAAACCTGTATATGTACAACCAATATTATTTATGCTATTAGGTAAAGATACACTAGACTGGAAACATAAATTCAGGGTTGGCCGGGCAACTAATTGGACTATTTCTCCACCATTTTCACTAACTTCTGGACCCCCCCACCATGATGCCTGGCAATTTAGTATAGAGCAAGAAAAAGTATTTCATAAAGTACTTAAAACATAATGCAATGTACTTCCAGAATAAACAAATGTACAGGTAGGTGCATTTTCATACCAGTCAGAGTTTGTTTATACCCAGTTGTTATAACAAATAAACTAACTAGTTGCTGGCTGAAGCACACTGGTAAAATGGTAAATGGCCTTGAGCTTGAATAGCTTTGTTTTTAGTCTTCTGACTACTCAAAGCGCTTTTACAGCGCAGGTCACACCCATTCACACACTGATGGTAGAGGTGGCTATAAAGTCACCATCGGAAGTAACTAATCCCATTCATACGCCTCGTCAGCAACTCTGAGCAGGGAAGGGACTGAAACTTTTATCACAGTGAGGAGATGTGGTTGACACTGTTTCTAGGTATGACACATGTTTTTCAGAAGCTGTGATTGGTTAAACCAAAGACATGGAGAAAAAAGTCAATCATAGAATCTAGTCAGACATTGTGTAATTATAAACTCTATGGAATTAGCATCTGTGTGATAATTTGTAAGATGTGCTTTAAAAGTATAGCCTACACAAAGTTTGCAATCACATGCTCAATTGTGCAGCAGCTTCATGCTGATCATTACATAAGCATGTGAAGAGGTTTAATTAGTGATTGGATGCACCTGTGGAGGTAACCACATGTAGAGACTCTCAACATGCATGTCTCACTTTGTACTGAAAACAGGCGTAGATGGATTGAAATGTCTGTATTAATACTTGTGTATGTGTTCAGCCCAACTGTGATTCAATAAGAATATCCTTCATGTCATGTTTGGAGAACATTTATCCATTTTCTCCTCAGCTTGAGAAACTCTTCATCCTGTGAAAAGTCCTTCTCACTACTCCTAACAGTTTTACACCTTAGGAGCTCTCTTTGTGAATAACTTTCATCTTTAAAACGATATAGTCTTCACTTTAAGGTGAAATTCTTAGATGTCATGATTTTAAGAATTTTCTTAGAATTTGTGAGGGAATTACCCATAGTTCATAGCATTGAGACGTGAAACATATGATTCCCCGGGGAAGCCCACAAGGGCGGAAAGGTAAAAAAACACCATGAAATGAAATAAAGGGAGAAACAGCAAATAAGCAGGAAGGTGAAACCACGCTGTATATATATATATACACACAACAAAGAAATTTATATATCGGCCTATATCAAGTACAACTTTTTATAAGCACGATGGCTGTGAGTGAGTAAAGTAAAAAACATAAAACAAGCTTTTGCCACATGACATCATGTAGTCATGATTACAGAGAAGTTGCAAAGTGCTGTCCCATTCTTATTTAACCATTGGAGCCCTCGCAGCCTCATGCAATCAATCACTTTCCAGGTGACGTCACTTAAGTCTGTGAGGGCTTAGGGAGGACATCGAGATTCAGCCAATAAAAGCCAACTGTCAACATCCGACATCTGAGTTGAATTCACCATGTGGACATGATGCTATGGGCGAAGGAGGCGAGCCAGGGGGAGAACATGGAGAAGACGCTTGTTTCTCCTGCTGGCCTCGATGGGAGAGGGGGGTTTATGTTATTTTACTGGCAGTAGTTAATAGTCAGGTTGGTTATTTAATTGACAATTTGGTCAGTGTATGAAGTTTGAATACAGTGTGTTTACATGAGAATGAATATAAATAAGTATCATGAAGCCGATCACACATAAATCCCTGCAGCAGGTTATGTTAGCTGTATCGACAGCTGGCTGGAGTTGGTTATATCATTATTTACTATTATGCAGTTATATAGTGTTTATCTTGTACTTGACCTTAAACACGTACATACTGAAAACATGTTCATGTCATACACACCAAATCATTCATTGTTTGCAATTGACAAATAACATTATGTGCGATTATTGTCTGAGGGAGTACAGCTGAAAAGAACTGTATGCAATGTTTTTAGTCATTTGGTTTTGTCGTCGATATGACATACTTGCATGAACTTCGCCTATTGTAAACTGAATTATTACAGATTCTAGCTCAGAACCTTCTTTTCCCCACAGAATACCAGGGGAGCCAAATGAACCTCCAGGTACCACTCCTGAGGTTGTACTTTGGTGGTTAAGATACCAAGCCACATTTCCGTCTGAGCAGGATGCCTTCAATTGACTCATTGCTACATCGGTGGAGGACCACTCTACCCCCGGCTGGGGCAGAGAAGTGAAGATGCTGGTGTTCAATTACTGGCTGGCTAGAGCCACATCGTATCGTGTGGTGGCAGAGGCTTTTGCAATACTAAAGCAAAGGGTCTGTGACTTGGTGCACAGGGCCAGCAAGAGGATCCTGGGCGTTGTGAAGCGGGTGATCCGTTTTCCCACCGGTGCAGAGTTTGACGTAGTTGGCGCCGGTTTTTGTTCGCCTGGAGAAGTCGGCAGTGTTTGGTCGTGTGACTCGCAGCATTTATGGCTGCCATGTGAGAGTGATTGCACCAGCAGCACCCGAGCAGGCATACTTCAACCGCAAGCTCTTCCATTCTGTCCAGTTCCAGGCCATCTGTGACCACAGGGGGGAGTCCCTGGGGCACTCTGATGTGTACGTTCATCAGCTGTACCAACCTGTGCCTGGGTATAGAGGACCTAGAAGTCCATGTTGATGATCAGGACCCTGATGCTCCAGCTAATCCTCAGGTGGCCTTCAGGATCAGTTTGAAACTGCAGTCTATGTTCCTGCACTGTGTGATAATGACTAAACCACTTGAACCTCACATGCCCATTGTTTGTCACTTAACACAACATTACTCAATGCACTATTCACCCTCCACTCATCACTGTCACAGCATTTTTATTTTATGCAGGGAAGCTAATGATCCAACACACTTAACATGTAAAAAAAAAAAAATGACTTGGTGATAATAAAGACTTCTTTAGAAAATAACATGAATAGATTATTTATATTTAGCTTTGTATAAATATGCTGTTTATCATTTAAAGTTTAAGTTCATTGTGTATTTTCAGTTTAACCTAATTTACAATTCTCATCGACCTCCTTCACATGGATGACATTTATCATCAGGGCCCGTATTCACAAACATTCTGAGAATCCTCTCAGAGAGCTCCTAACTTAGCCTAAAAATTCCTAGGAAGGAGTCTTAACCTGGGAGTGATTTAGGAACAATCTCAGAGCAACTCTGAGCAAAGAAGAGACAGAAACTTTTCTTAGTGAGGAGGCGTGGTCGACCCCGTTGCTAGATATGACACGTTTTTTCAGAAGCTGTGATTGATTAATCAAAAAAAAAAAATTGAGATAAAAAGTCAAACATAGAATCTAGTCAGACATTGTGTAATTATGAACACTTTGAAATGAGCATCTGTGTGATAATTTTTAAGATGCACTTTTAAAGTATACAGCCTACAAGATGTTTGAAATCACATGCTCATTTGTGCAGCAGCTTCATGCTGATCATTACATCATCATGGTAATGATTAATTCTTAATTAGTGATTGGCTGCACCTGTGGAGGTAACCACATGTAGAAAAGCTCAACATTCATGTCTCACTGTCCTGGAAACAGTCATGAATTGAAATGTATGCATACACATTTGTCTGTTGGGCCCAACAATGATTAATAGTAATCTTCATGTAGCATCAGGAGAACATTTTTCCATTTTCTCCTCAGCTTGAGAAACTTGTAAGTCTGTAAAGTCCTCTTCACTACTCCTAACAGTTTTACACCTCAGCAGCTCTCTTAAGGGCTAAGAAACTTTTATTGAATAACCTTCATCTTTACAAGGATCTCGTCTTCACTTTAAGGGGACATTTTTAGAAAATGCCCTGATTCTGAGGATTTTCTCAGAATTTTGTCATTAGGGGAAACTCTTAATACTTAGGAGGCTCATGAATATGACCCCCAGAAAACACTAATATGTACATGTAAAAGAACAATAAGCAACAGATGCCAGGGAGACCTTAACGCTTATGTGTTATTACAAGTAATAATATCACTACCCAGCACCCTAAGTTATACTTTCGGAGACTGGCAATGGAGAACACACACAAAAAGTTCTATGTTGGTGTTTATATGCACACACAGACAACTAGAGAATCTACAGGAACAACCACTCACTACCTCTGAAGGTGAGATAATGAGCAACACAGAGCACTCGAGACTCAGAGTATATTTAAGCTCCCCACACCTGAACTTAATCAAGGCCAATCAGTCACACACACACCTGACTGCAGGGAGTCGATTCTCTCACCACTGAATGAATGAAAGAGACTTTATTTTGAACCAAAAATTAAAACAAGATGATCACATAAAAAAAGTAACAGTGTCCGAAAAGGAGTAGGAGTAAGTAAAACTTATATCCCTACCACTTTATCACTTTTCTTCTTTAAGTTTAGGCTATATATTATTCCAACAAATCCTCACAAATACAAAAGTATGCCTGCAGTTTGTTTGCCACCTAAAATAAATAAATAACAATCCCAGCGTATTTACAATCCTTAGATCCACCCAGTGTTGCAAAATATACCGGAATACCCCAGCTTTTCCACTTCCATATAATGTTCCTGTTAAAAATATATTTTTATTTGTTCTTTGTTCCAGCTCTTCACCTAACCCATTCCACAAATCCACCCTGTACCCTGAAATACACTCTTCTTCGCTGTATAAACACATTGATTTTGGCTTCTTAAATCATAACCCCCCTCCCTGCCACAAAACATGTTTTGAATGTTACCCGGAAGTTTGTACTTTAAACATGGTTATTGCCGTTTTAAATTTGACCAGGTCTACACATTTCAATGCATGTGATTTAAAAACAGTGTGTTCCTGAGTTCCCTATACCCCTACCTTGTGTATTATCCTGATGGCTCTCTTTTGAAGTATGCATAATGGTTGTGCGTTGCTTTTGAAAGTGTTGCCCCAAACTTCCACACAATAATCCAGATATGGTAATAAAAGTGAAGAATACAGAATGTGCAGTTTATGGTCCAGTATGTGTTTTGTTTTCCCTAATACAAACAATGCTCTTTGCCAGCTTTGATCGAACATGATTAATCAGTAGATTTTGTGATCTAAAAGCAGTATTGACTGACATGCTTCTCAATAAAATTATCCAACCTTCTAATGAACAGTTTTCCCAGTATTTTAGAGAACTGACAGATTAATGATACAGGCCTGTAGTTGAAAGAATGTTGTATATCCCCAGCTTCATGTAAAGGAATAACTTTAGCAGTTTTTATTTTTTGTGGAAATGTGCCAGTTGTGAATGATGCTTTAAGGATTGTATCCCCCGATCTTCTTTATTTACTATTTAAAACAACTTTAAATTTTAAAGCAACAATAATTATCGCAATGTATCTTTTCTCAGTGTTTTGCTGCACTGTGCACGGTGCTTCTGATTGTGAAATGTTCCTCTTTTCAAGTATGGGCGGAGTCAGTAGCTCAGTTTGTAGGGACTTGAAGTGGGAGGGTCACTGGTTCAAGTCGGTAGCGGGAGATGTGCTTCTGAGGTGTCCTTGAGCAAGACACCGAACCCTAACAGCTCTGGTGCGCTCCCTGTGTAGCAGCCCCACTCTGACATCTCTCCATTAATGCATGTCCACAGGTCCTGTTAGTCCATTTGTGTATTTTGGGCCTTTGTAGACAATATAGAATAATTACATCCCAATAAACCATCTGGTTTCTTAAACTTTCACTTAGGATCAAAATTCTGCCTTTAATTTGAAATAAAGATAATTTTCGATATTGATTGAAATGAACATTTTTTATTGTGATAACATTTTTAGCCATATCGCTCATGTGCTATCAGTAGCTGTGTTCATTATTTACCCCCGTACTTGTAAAACCTCACCTGAATTCTTTGTGCAAACTAATTACCCAACAATGAAGACATCTGACTTTTCACCGTGTTGGCTGTCACTGAAGCTCAGGAGTTTAATGAAGAAAATAAACACACACATTAATTTCTGACACCAATTAGTCTGACAACAAACCAGATCCACAGACAGTGACAAAGGTCAAACACTCCAATACAAGTCACCACCAAACACATTAGGACCACTGAAACAGGAGGATACAGTCTGACAGATGAACACAGGCGTTTCTTTATGTGACATCATCCTCATGCAAAGACATTCATGACAGATCTCTGCCATGGAATTAGGCATTACTGTGCATTCATGTGCTGTCTGAAAAAATGGGATTACCATTTGCTTTTACAAAAAAATATCCCCCATGACACATGGAGCTGTGATTGGTTGAAAATTGTGAAACTACCTAAGGTGAAAAGTCTGAGTAAGTCGGCTGAGAAAAGGCTAAATACAGAATGAAATGTAGCGCTTCCATATTGTTTTAAGAGCATTTTTAAATCCTAAAAAATGTTTTAAAATATGTCCAAAGTCTTCTCAGTTTGTGGTTTCTGCAAATAAAATACATAAAACATAGTGAGCCTGCTTTGATTAAAACGTTACATACTGCTTGATATATTGATCTGAGGGTGCAGACATTGATAAATATGGCTAAACAAGTATGATATTCCAACATTATTAACACCTGTGTTCTTCAGCCGATAAAACTGGACAGAAAAAAAAAAAAAAATGATTCCAGGCCACCCCCAACAATGCCACCCATTATGAAAATCACCGTGACTCATAATACATCATCAATTTGAGGTAATCCCAAACTAAAATATTTATTTTCATATAGTTCTGATGTTGAGCTGAAAGCCAACGCATGCTATTAGATGCAAGCTAACAAGCTAGCTCGGCTTCAGCAGAAATGCCATCAATGCAAACAAGGCTTTTCTACCTTGTGATCTAACACCCACTTTAAATCCTTTTTTCAGCACAATACAGGCAATCCAAATGATTAGACACTTGTCACATTGTGGGGAAATAACACTGGATAGCTAACGAAGCGAAATGCTAACAACTATAATTTTTGCTTTCAGGGAGGAAGCCTCGCATTGTTGCTGTTAATTTAACCACAATGTGTTTAAATTGCAACGTTCATTAAATATATGCTTTTTTAAATAAATTGCATAAAGTAGATGTTAGGTCAACCGTCAAACTGCATTAATTGTTTTTTTTTGCATCCTTAGTGTTTGTTTTGACCAGAGCCTGACTGATTAATCGGCCAGCCGATAACATCGGGCCGATATCAGCAGTGACTATCAGTATCGGCTAATTTTATTGCAGATATGTGCCATTATTACTCACCATTATTTACCAGGTTTATTTTCCTTTGAGTTTAATTGTAATAAACTAGTAGTTCTCTTTCACCAGCAGAGGGCGCTATGTGGACTGCAACAAGCATTGTCACTCTCCAGAGTGCCAAGCAGTGATGCACGTACATGCACAGTTACTTTCCAGTGGAGTGACCATCTTGTCTTTATTATATTGTTCAACTTCACCAAAAGTTATTTGATAACTGCATTTGAGGAATCAATACAATAAATATGTATATTTATATTTCTCTTCAGATCAAACATAAGATCTATGAAAGATATCGGCTCATATATCGTTACTGGATTTTTTTCTCCCCAATAATGATATCACCATCGGCCCCAAAAATCCATAACAGTCAGGCCCTAATTTTGACATGCATACTGTATAACTCAGTCAGAAACTCTATTCACTAAAATAGGGACACACTGTTAGCCATTGCAAAACATAAGCCCTCTGTTTGATTTCAACACTCCCTTCGCTTATCAACATAAAAGGTCCCCCAAAAATAAATTAAATGAAGGACAAAATGCAGACATAACAATGTTTGATACAGAAGCTTTAGTAAACACTTAGTAGACTGGTTTTTAAAGGGCAATCAAATATTCTTAATGTGCCTCCAAAGGCTTTCAAATCTGACCTTCTCCTCTTTTGAAAAAAGGACAAAATAGCTCACATAAAAAATAAAGAACTCAAATTCATGTTATTGGTTGGCTTTACAAAAGTCAGGCAATCTTGAAAACAATATTAAAAGGTGCTTTGACCTCTTCATGAAATGTGAACGACAGAGAATATTTCGCCCACTATGTGACACACACCTGAAGAACTGAAACAGCACAGCTACAAATACAGGAAGAGGAAAGCACTACTTTGACAGGACATGAGGCACAAAGAGCCTTTACAGTGAGCATGCAGAGGCATAGAAATACCAAAACAGCTTTCACACACACACACACACACACACACACACACACACACACACACACACACACACACACACACACACACACACACACACACACACACACACACACACACACACACACACACACACACACACACCCTCTTTCTTGGCCTAGGTGCTACCATATTAAAGGCTGAGGGCGTTGAGTGTGTTCTTCTGTGTCCAAGCCAGTTGGAAAATTGTGGTGGGCGAAGAGGACAAGATTTGACGGTGTTCCTCTAACATGCCCCACAGGGTGCAAGTGTCCATATTCAAGAGGAGAAACATCCAATAACATCCTCTGCTTCAGTCCAGATACTGCTTTTTTTTTCACTGGATTGAAAACATTCAACCTGTCTTTAGTCCTAAAATAATTTCCCTTTATCCTTTTGTACATATTTAAAAAAAAAAAAAACAACCAAACATATGGTTACTCCAGCAAACAACTGCACTCATTCTGCTCTGTTCAATCCTTAATTTGGCTGTTCCTGATAACCAACGTTGAGCGCTGTACTACAAACTCAGCCTTTCCCCCTTCCTCATCCTCATCAGCTGGCAGGTCAAAGTTCAAATGCAGGGAAACAGGACGCTTCAGGCTGCGCTATCTCTGACAGGTAGTAGATGGCTCCTGCCATACCTGGGGGGGAGAAACACAGCTATTATTGCCAGCTGATTTCACATTCGATTCAGTTCTTAAAACAGACATATTCCTCTGAAGTCAAGCTCAGGGTGGGAAGTGCGAATGCTCAAAAGATTCATGTATGCTTTGCTCCTGGTGACAAATCTATAAATGTAGGAAATCTGACAATTCGTTATCATTTCTCCTCTTCTTGATGGATGAGAGTCTGAAGAGACAATGGATAGTGACAGTCTGGAGATTTTTTCTTTCCATGGTTTATTTTTAGGCTTCCTCTGTATTTTATTTTAGAGATAGGACAGTGGAACTAGGAAGAGAGATAGTGGAGAACGACATGTGGGAAAGGAGCGATGGGCTAGACCCGAACCTGGGGCCGTCCGCTCAGAGGACCACAGCCGCCCCGCACATGGGCCTGGCGCACCAAACACCAGGCCACGGGCGCCTCGACAAACATCTCTCAGGTAAAACAACATACAGTATATATATATCTGTGTCGCTTGTCCTGCTCAGGGTCGCACGAGGGGAGAAGCAGGTGAAAAACAGTTACTTTCTTCAGCTTATGTTGTTATAACCTGCAACTAACAAACTCTTTGAAAGACCCCAGGTATAAAAATGTATCTGCAGTGTGATGCTTCCAGTTGTGTCTTTAATTGTTCTATGACAGCCAGAATTACACAGGATGCTGCATAATTGGCTGTTGATGGAAGAAGATGTACTATTTGTAGTGCAAAATAAAGGCCGTAAATAAAAACGATGGTTGTTCTTTCAACGGAAGAGAAACGTCAACACTGTTAGTAATGCTGAAAAAGTGAAATATCAAATATTCAGTACCTTCAAAAAGAGAGTAGGGTCTGTCTGGAATGCGACAGCCATGTGTACCGTAGTCCAAACACCACTCAGCAAACTGTGGAAAGAAAATTACATTTTTATAGAAATCCCTTCAACATTTATCTGTATGAGAATGAGAAAAGGAAAACCAAGTAAAAGTCTGACTGCTTCCCCAAAACAATACGTCTTGCCCAACAGCACAGTCATCCATGATTCACTGAGCTTATTACAAACTTGTTCTTTATTTATATCCAAACCAAACAACTCTTTTGCCGCAGTACTTTTGGATTTCCTTTCATTGATTTTTGTTCCAGCTTTCCTCTGTGTTAGCAAGTTTCTGGTTGCTGACCTGACTCTGTGTAGAACAAGGGAATGAAGCCTTCAGAGCTGAAAAATTAAGCCAATGCTTATGTTTTTTTTTTGTTTTGCTGTCAAACTTTAGCATCCATTTTAATTTCCCAGTTACTGTCAATTATTGATACATCTTGGTATTAGTTGAAGTTCTACCCGTTTGCACAAAAACAGTCCCTTCTGGCTTCACAAAGCAAGGCGCCTTAAAATACCAAACCCAACACATCAAAACACAGAAGAAACCAGTGTTAAAATATACATTTTTATAGCAAGAAGAAACATGATTACAGCCTGTCAGTCAACTCGACTCAAGGTCAGCTCCACCTCTCTGCCTGTTTGTAGACTGATGGAAAGTTAGGTTGAGATAGCATTGTTTACAAATTGATCTTCATAACACCTCTTCAGTGTTAGGAAGTGACCTCACTCAGTCTCCGTCCATGTGATATACAGTCTATGATTTTTGTTACACTCCTCCTAGTATGGCTGCCCCTTGTTCCTACCTTGCATGCTCTGTACAGGTATTTCTTCTCCTTGGTGAGCTTGTAAAGGGCCAGGAAGGCGTAGCCGTTGCCGGCGGTGCCGTGGCAGATACCGTAGCCTTTTCTGAGCAGACCTCGCTGCCAGATCACCTCAGCACACTCTGCAGCCTCTTTCAAATACTTGTCCTCTTTAAACACCTGGGGAGACACAGATAAAGACAAATGAATAACCAAACCTGGGACAAAGGAGGGGCGCACAACAACCAACAGTTTAAGTTAAACCCATGCGTTCTAAAACGTCTGTGTTGTTGTTAGACAACTTGTGGAATAACCTTAGTTTGATGCTTTATAATTGTGTCAGTTTTGGACTATGTAGTTGCCTTATCTGCTGAAAATATTCTTACGTTCTACTACTGACATAAAAAAATGTCTCAGGGTTACAGTAATGGCTTCTATACTTAGGCAGGAATCGCTGAACTTCAAAGTACTGAATGTCCGCACTAAAGCTATAAATCATTAGCTTTGACTCAAAACAACCAGCGAGAGCCACATTTAAGCTGCACCCTGTAAAAACATCTTCCCAACAGGCTGGTTTCTGTGTTCTATCTTTCCCCCGGGGAGCACATAAGAGTCCAGCCCACAAAGAGGACGAGACGTTCCCAAATGCCCAGACCTCCTTAGAAGGTAATGAATCCTTTTACAGAGCAGAGCGATGCTACTACATTTCATACCAGCTGACAGATGACCTGTCAGAAACACATGAAGCTAATGAGACAAACTGAGACACAGTGAGAACAAAGTGCAAATCTGACAGTTTGCCTGATTAGGTGTGATTATGAAAGCCAGCCTCCCACAGCAGAATGAGGTCCCAGATGGCTGAAACAAGAAGAAGTGCTTGAGGAAGAAAAGGTATAAGAGCAGCTGAGTAATCATGTACTGCATGTCAAATAAGTAATTCAATCAAGTCTGTCTGATTGTGACCATGACAGTAATTCTGTTATTACAGTTTCCCCCCCATTGTAAACACACAAAAGATGGCCCTATGCACATGACGCTGATGCATGTGTCACTCAAGTATAGTTCTAAATCACAGTTGTGCAAAACTCTGAACACTAATTTCATCGTTTAGCACACTTTGTTCACAAAATAACACACCCTGATTGCCAATTAGTCTCACTCATGTAGAACCTGAGCAACTCGATTAGAAAAACATTTCAATCAAGTGTCAGAATATCAAAGAGGCCTCAGGTGACTTATACAGGGGTTAGGCAATATTGAACACTTTTTACTGCAGTAATGAATATTTATTTTATTTTTGTATCTGTGCACTGAGTATATTTGTTTTTTTATTGTACTTACAGGTGAAATGACTGAGTTTGATATTTTATAAAAAAAAGTAACATTTGTGTTGCCTATACATGTGTTACTATAAATGCTATTGTGGAAGTAAGAACTAAACTTCACTAATGTGATAAAATGAAAACTTTTCTCCTCACACTAGTTTGCATCTGAATATGTAACACGGCCTCATGAAGCCAAAACATACATGAACACACTTTTGAAGGTAGTGTTTTGAGTTGATCACATCTGAGTTTATTGGATGCTCTGTAAGACAGAAACATATCACAGCGGTGTGTAGTGTTCTGTTGAGAGGAATCTGAGAACAGAGGACATGGTTTAAAGTGCTGTGTTTCAGTGTGCAATACATTTGTAGAGGTTTCACAAAGTAGTTAACTCTTCTGCAGTTTGTGTTCAGAGTTTTTGAGAGCCACAGATTGTGGACATGTGCAAAAACCTGTCGATAGGAATCAAAAGGATGACCTGCTGTGCCCAACATGGAACACTTTGTTGCACTCTTCTGGCTCATTTTACCATCAGTACATAGTTTTTTGAAAGATTTATTTTGTGGATTTTTAACATCCTTACTGTAGAGAGAGGACAGTTGATAGAGTCGGAAGTTGTGGGGAGCGAGTATGGGGAATGACATGTGGGAAAAGGAGCCACAGGTCATATTGGATCCTGGGCCGTCCGTGTTGAGGACTACAGCCTCCGTACATGGAGCATGCTGGATGCTCTCACCACACCGCCGGCATCCCAGTACATTTACTGGTTAGAGCTCAGCTATTTCTGGCATCAGTTGGCCTCATGTAAATAAAACGATTGCCACAATGAATTATCTTTGGAAAGACCAGTGTCAATCTATCTTCCTATATTGAGTCCATTCTAGTTTGTAAATTTACTTTATAATGGATAAATCTCCTCGAAATAAGAACTTTAGCTTCTTAATCTAGAATGCCATATTTTGTTTTTATTGTGGTACAATCCTAATTTATTGATAGATAATAAACAGGATGTGTTACTGATAGATTGCAATGCTGGAGCTTGAAACAGAGTGACTAGCTTCACCCTGGATGTTCTGAAACAAAAGAAACACCGGGGTTGTTTCAAAGTAACAAAAACGTGGTCCGGGGGTTTTTGTTTCTATGACGACAAAACATTCATGAATGCATTGCCCCTGTGATTTTTATTATCCATTCTATTACCTGGGCATCATTTTTCCCCTATGAGTACTAACAGAGGTAGGATGGCCCTTGTACTTTGTATGCATCAGCCTAATGAGGTCCTTGCTGTCACTCTGACGGCTGTATGCACGGAGAGAGCGGAACACGACAAAATCTGTCTGGGACAAAATACGGTGAGCTTCATCGCCTCATCCAAGTAATACGTTAGACAAGAGCCTGGTTCATGGCTTTTTTTTTTTAAGTATTTAGAGGTCGCATTTCATCTAAGTTAGGAATTGGCAAAAACATCCACAACAAGCTTCTCCTCCAGGTTCTGGGTTTCCATGGCAACTAGCTCCGCCTAACATTATTGCTGGCTTCAAAAAAAGATGGGACAGTGGTTACAGCAGCACTTTTCTTCAAACTTCAGGGATGTTTCATTATCTGGGAACAATTTTTAAAAAGCACCAGGAGTCAAAATACACAAACAATACGACAACAAAACGCCCTATGATTTGTTTACATCATCAACAATCTCTGACAATGTAACACAACAGCCTTTTGCACTGAGCCTTCTTCTACCTCAGTAAAGTCACCATTCGTATGTTCCTGGATTATTAGTAAAGTCTTTGTAATTATATGAACTTGATTATATGTTTGTTTGTTGTGGTTGGTGGGTATGCAGTGGTTTCATGAGGTGCCTGCTGTGTTTCTGTGTGTTCAATGAAAAACCTCAAAGAATGGATAGATACCAAAAACTCAATAGAAGAGCAGAGGAGGGATGAGCCCTCACTGATTTGTTTCAACATCTCATGTTGCCTTTAAGGTCATCAAAATAATTGCTTGGCTGGTATATTGACAAGCTCTCTGTTGCATAGCAACAAGACTGATGTAGCTATCGCATCTTCCTCTAACTACATTGATTCTCCCAGTTTCACTTGTAAAAAAAGAAAAGAAGAGACAATTAGCTGCTTAAAAACTATTTGACCCATGACTTTAAGAGAGAATTCAATTATTGGAACAGTGATTTTAAAAACAGTCCTTACTGTACCTGAGCCCCGTATACAACCCACAGCTTACTGTATATCACTGTTTGCAGGGTGCAGACACTACAGCTGCAAGAGGTGACCTGAAATGATCCATAAAAAAATGCATGCAGCCATTAAAGCCTGCGACAACACATGAAAGATGTGTTTTTCTGTTCTGCTAATAGTGAGACAGAGATAAGCAATTGCGTCTCTCATTGTGCTTTTGTTCTCTGTGTGGCGCCAAAGAGGCTCTGCATTAGTGAGAGGAATGCAAATGCCAAAATAGCAGCGCATTAGCTGCCAAGTGGCTCCCTAATGGGCCAAGAAAAGAAAAAAATGAGCCTTCAATGCATTACTGCAGTATGTGTGTGTATGTGTGTACGTGCATAGCCAGGCTTTTAAACAGCTGTTGTTTTATCTGGAGAGGATTCATTTCCTGTCTTTGTCACAGCCTCCTCGCGAGTTCTTCAATGTTTAAAAAGCCCGTTTTATTAAAAAGGATTATCCGCTTTTACAACTTTGTGATTAAAAGAGGCAGAACAAAACACATTAAAGTATGTGACAAAGCGTGCTGTCCATGCAGTGCAGAGGCATGCCACAAGGTGCCAGTGTTGTTCATTTGTTTGTTATTGACAGACGGGTGTGGTTTCACAGAGCGAGAGCTTTAATGTCAGCTCAGCTCAGCACGATAACGATGTTTCGAGTGCTGTCACATCAAGCAGACACCACAGAATGTGCAGCGTTCACCTTGTGAGCCATGATGAGCATGTGGATGACACCGGGGGCTCCGTGGCACCAGTGAACCAGCCGGTCGCTCTCGTTGCTCACAGATGACGGGAAGTTCCCCGAACGGAACTTCTTGTGGCGGACGTAGTCGATGCAGGGACGGACCAGCTCCGTCAGCATGTCTGGATGAACCTTTGAAGAAGGCTGGAGAGGAAGAGAGATAGAGCAGTATTACACTTGTACAGGTCGACTAGACACGATATATGGATTTAAGGCATTGGCAAAGTTAGAACAGCTGATATGAGAGAATTCTGGACAGAGAGCTTCTGTTTCTTGATTTAAGTAGGTGATGATGCAGAAACATGATTGTTGTATGAGTGATATTCTCTCACATAAAATCTGCCAGCTGCAGTGGTGGGTCTAAACCAAAATAACCATCAGTCCTTGTCTGTTTCTAATTAGCATAATTCAAATTCTCATAAAGTGGGGCAGTAACTAATGCACTTTAGTAGGCAGGATGCCGCTGAGTAGAGAAACGTATTAATAAACTCAACATTAGGAGTTTACTCTCAGGAAGAAAATGTAATTAATCAACTAGTAATCAGCACAACTTGATGTGCTGAGGATTGATTATCTTTGTTGGAGTGAGTCTCTTCTGTGTGTGAATTGGAAAAGTATGAGGATTTACTGCAGACACATGCTTTGTATTGGTTGTTAACTTTCAGCCGACTAAGTAACAGAAGTCCACAGAAAGTTTCCAGATAAGATTGAAGGATAAATTGAAAATTAAAGAGGATCGGAAAAGGTTAACTTCTCATAACCATTCCTAACTTCTCAGTTAGGTAGCTAGCTAGTTAGCAGCTATGAGTCAGGCTAGAGCCGATCGAATAAGCTGCAGAAACTCAGAGGTCTCACAGCTGAGGTTTGGAGAACTGGAGCAGGATGGGGATGATGTTATGTGACAACGTATACGATAACGTTGATGTTTATTGTTTGGTTATCAGGGACCCCACAAACTCATTTTTGCTGCATTAGTCATTTTGAAATTCTTTAATTTGTAAACTATTTTAATACATTTTCAAAGTTGTTATGTTAATGTATTTGTCTGAACTACAGCATTATTCAAGCAGATGATGTTGATGTTATTAGTTAGATGCGCTGCATAATTTACGCCACAAGCTGGTGTCTGTGAGTGAGAAACAGTGACATGTAGGAGTTCAGAGAAGAAGAGTGTTGTTGTTGTGATGATCCGGAGTTAGCAAGAACGCTGTCGTATTTATTCAGCAGCTGAAGAGACTCGTTAAATGCATAAATAAAGTGAACAACCTTTCAGCGTCTGCCTGAGTTTCTGGCTGCAACACATACAGTGTAAAAACACTGTGTTCGGTCTTGCTTTAGTTCTAGGAACATTTTAAAGGGATAGGCGACTAATTGAAGTGGGGTTGTAAGAAGAGCCCGACTGATTAATCGACCAGCCGATAATATCGGACGATATTAGCATATCCAGTGACTATCTTGTCTATGTCATAGTGTATATCTTTTCCACAAGTGCTTGATGACTGCATTTAAGGCATATACGCCATAACTGTTTACCTATATCTTTCTATCTCAACAGATAAAATGTAGATCTAGGAAAGATATCTGCCAATATATCGGTATCTGATTTTTTTCAGCATTTATCAACAGTGAGTGTACTATGCAGAGAAGACAACATTTATCTTCCAGCAGGTAAATTCTTTTTCACCTCTGCTGATGGGCACCTCTTGTCCAAACTGCACACAGGTCGGTGTATGTGTGGCTGTCTGGTTAGTGTTTGTGTCACTGTACAAATGGCATGAAACATGCGGCTCATTTTGTCAATCTGAGATCGGCCAAGAATCGGCTTTACTTCAGAGGACCGGCCGGTCACTGATCACTGCAGAACAGGCTGAAAATCAGGCGATTAGGGTCGCTTATAATCACTTCTATTCTTATTATCTAGGAAGTAAAGGAAAGGAAAGGGCGGTCTGGTGTCCAGGTAAAGCATTGCAAATATTAGAAAATATAGCATACATCCAAACTGATTTTTTTATCATACGTATGGCCTTTAGTGGCTAAATTGATTGTTTCTCTTGACTCAGTCCACAGAGGAGTTTACCTTAGCGTCTATGTAGATACTGGCTGGGTGGTGCCGACTGTCACACAGTACATTTAAAACGTACTATTAATTAGGACCTTACACAACCAAACTTAAATTTAAAAAAACAGAGCTATCCCTTTAAGTCAGTGGAAGCTAAAAAGCTCTGAAAAACAACTCGGATTCTGTTACTGGTCTTAATGGACTCCACACACACTCACAGTGATGTAGGAATGAATTATTCATTTCTAGCAAGATGTTCAGTGTGTTAATGAGAACATCTGTGAACAAAAACACAGACACAGGACAGTCAAGTCTGCGATTTGCATTAACCTACTACTCCTCGCTTTCCATACCTGAAACTATATAAACTACCAAGAGGTAAAAACAAAAACAAACCAATAGTAATGTAATTAAAGAATACTTTTACTTTCCTTACAAAAACACCGTCTGTTTACTGTGTTATGTTTGGGCTGTTCACCTGCCCTAAAATCTAAAGCTGTTAGAAATGAATCCCACAGCACTGGAATGTGTAGTTCCCCACAGTGCAGTCAGGCTGAGTTATCCACTTCATACTCATTTGCAGGCAACAGTTTGATCAAATCTCACTAAAGAACTGATTTAATCAAGCTGACAGCAACACTAATGTGATGTGTGGCTGTAGGAGTTAGCAGGCTGGCTCTAAGCCCAGGACAGTGAGACTCTACATCAGACACCAGCCCGACATTAAAGCACTAATCAGCTGATTAATGTCCTCTGCTGTATTGTGTAATCAACACTGGTGAAAAAAAAATGTGTCTTTTACCAAATAATGATGCTGAATCTGTGGAGACTAAATGATTGAAGGTGGCTGTATGGCAACAACTAAGTATCAATACATATTAACCAAATCTGACACAAAAAATAACTCACAAATGCCCGTTTCCACCAAGCAGTCCGGTTTGGTTTAGTACAGTTTGGTAGTTTGGTAGTTTGATGTGGTAAACCCTGATCTTGCTTGCGTTTCCACAGCCAACTGTACCCTGATGGTAAACTGGGTGTAATCCGGATTGAGATAGCTACGTCAGCTACGTAAAAGCATGACATCATAGCAGCGCAGCACAGTGTAGCCTACCGATAAGATAAAGAAGGAGGTGACAAAGTAAACAAAGTGGCAACAATGGAGGACATCCAGCAGAGGTTTGCACCTCTCAGGCTGTCCATGGGGCGGTACTACGCCCTGTCCAAAAAACAAAACAGCCTTGAAAATCAAAATCGAAGACAAAATTGTGTTTGTCCTTCCACGATTATTTCGACCAATTAACAGACTCAAGTGTGTTTAGCGCCACACTTTAGGCCCAGGTAAGTACCCATGGCACCTCAACAGAAGGGTACCAAAAGGACAGTAATGATTGGTTATTTTGGTACCGTTCCCGACTTTTGACAGTGGAAACACCAACAAATAGGTACCGTACTGAACAGAACTGAACCGGACCGTTTGGTGGAAACAGGACTATAGGGCTCATGGGAATGGGTTCCTATTTTTTTTAAGAGAACCACATCCATTATGTGTCTAATTCGCACCACGCATGCGTTTGTTTCTTCAATCTAAGAAAATGCTCTCTAAGTGGAAGGAGAAATGTACATTTGGATCCCATCTGGTGTTGAGTAAGACTTCAGAGGTGGCAGAAACAGAAATGAGCATGTTGGCTTTTAGACAAAAGTCTTGTTTACTTACAGCCTCACTAAGTGGATCAGTTCAATCAAGCTAAAGGCTCCAAAATAAATATGTTCCCCTTAACGTCAACTCTACGAGGTAGGAATGCTGTATGGGCTTTTAAAGAAGCTGACAGACAGGCATGAGGAGGGAAATTGTTGAATTTATTTCTAATAACTCTTCAGCCAAGACTTGTACATTTTCCTGTATCCGTAGTTGACTGAATATAACTCCTAACGTTTAAGTATCGATTTTAAGAATGTCTTTTTTTTTTTAATATACATTCACTGTAACGCTTTTTTGTATTTTCCATCCAGAAACAGGAAACTACAGAAGCACTTGAAGACTTTTGAGGACAACAAAGTGAGTAAGTCTGTACACAGGCTGTAGTCATACAGGTAGGTGGCCCTGGTTTGAATCCTACCTGTAGCTCCTTCCCGACTCCCTGTCTCTCTCCCCGATTTCTGACTCTATCGACTGGCCCTGTCTCTAAATATAAGACATAAAAAGCCCCAAAATAAGCCTTTACAAAAAGAACACAAGTCTGCAAGAGCAGGGAAGACTCGACATTAAGATTCATCCTTGGTCTTTGAGGCAAAAGATCTCTGTCTTCAATGCATCCCTGCTAGAGGAGAATCTTGATTTGAATGATCAAATCCAATTGCAACCGTTGACACATCTGTGTGGACATAAGGTTTATTGGTTGGGATTTGTGCGATGATGTACAGTAAGGTAGGTTTTATTTTCTTGATACTCTGTTTCTGCTACTTTTTTTCCCCAATCTAATTCAAATAATAATTCAAACTTATTCATTCTCAGCTAATCATTTGAAATAGTTAAAACTCAAACTGTGTTGAAAGCTAACTACAGTAGAACAATTCCACATTTTACCTGCATGAGCATGTAATAGATGCCAGCCAGGCCGTGGGCAGCACCGATGTACTGCTTCTTGTGCCATTCATAGAGCAGAGGGCAGCGATCCGTCTTCTTCTGCTCTGCTGACATGTTCTTCCCCGACTCCATGATGACCGTCACCACCTGATGAGCAGAGGAGGAGATGAGTTGCACAAGGACAATCAGTGGTCAGGTTGTATTCCTGTTCATAGTCCAGAATCATAACCAGTTGACAAATCGGAATCCTTTCAAATCTAACTAGGTTTGATTTGTTAAAATCAAAAAAGGCTTTTCACATTTGCTTATAACTAGAATTAAATATGATTACATTTATTTTTATTTTTATGAAAAGCATCAATAGCAACATTTGGGTTAGTGGTCTGATCAATGATGACAACCTTTAGCTACAACCTGACAATAAGACATGCAGCAGAAGCATGCAGCATCCTCCTCCATGGTTGGTAAATGCAGCCAACAACTAGCGCAAAAAAAAAAAAAACTACAGTTCCTATAATGGCCACTTGAGGCTGGCATTCGAGAACAACTCAACCATAGATCCCTGTGTTAAAATGATTTGAATCGCTAAAGTTAATGATTGAGTAGACACTTGAAATGGTCGATAGGTGTCCCTTGCTGATATATATAAGAAAGCAACAATAGATTTCCTTTCCAGGTTCCCTCCAGTTCCTAAGTAAATGCTACTAAGGCAGAAAAAGAACCAACATGCTGAGTCCCACCATTTCTACTTTTTACAACGCAACATGCCAACTTCACACTGTGGACAACATCACAGTGACAACAACGTGACAACTACTGTCCGTTCTTTCCCACATATCTCAAGTTTAAGTATTAATTAGCATGGCAGACTGCAGCGCTGGATTTTTTTAAATTCTTTTTTTTGGAGGGGGAAATCAATTAATTAAGTAGCCCATTATTTTTATGCATGACTCTACATAATAATAACACATTCTTTGATAACATGCAAACTGCCATCATTCATTTTTAACTCCACATAAAATACATCATTGTGCCAAACATTGGCATTGAAATGCAGTGTGATGAACTGAACCAAACTCTGGTCTTTCATATCTTGTTTACCTACCTCTTATTAGTTACAAAGAAAATCCAAGACTGATGAATGGATTTGTTTAACAGCTACATAGTTCTTAATAAATGGATACAGGTCCTAACAGTCTCTCACCCTAATGTTTATATTCTGAAATGAATATATTGTAAAAGAGAGTTCACTGACGTTCTCATATAGGCAGAATACTGTCTATATTTAATTTGCAGTGGGATTGTTTTTCCTTTATGAATGATTATGTAATTTAACATCTTTAAGTGTAATACTGTTTATTATACCATTTGGAATATTTTGATCTGCACATTTATCATTATATAATAGGATTAAATACTTCAATTGGTCTAAAGATAGAGATTTGGATTACAATGTTCATAATAACCTTTAACATAAGTTAAGAGACTGATTGAATAATGATTTTAAAAAATGTATTGCAGTGTTTAACACAATGTGGTTTTCTTTTCAGATTTCCTACTTTAGGGGGGTTTATGTTCTTGCATGTGTGAGAACAACTTTTCCACGAGTCTGAAATAGTCTGCTTTCAGCTCATATTCTGGCAAGTACTACAAGAACGCCATCTTCTTTAGATCTGAGCTCAGTTGTCAATTCTGTTCTACCCTATGCTCTCTCACTCTCTCTCTTTTTTGTTTGTATTTTTACCTTTTTATGCAGGTTTCTTTCAACTGATGAAACTTCTTCCACAGAAAAAGACAACAAACAATGAGATGCTGAGGTTTAACATCTTTAGATTCAGCCCGTTCTGTAAAGTGAACACTTTACTCGTCATTAAAGCTCCAGTCTTTTGTTTTCCTGTGTTCAACTGTCCTGAACTGAAGGTTCATCTTTTAATTTAACGAAAAGCTTTTGGATTTGTAGTTCTTAACTACAAACTGTCTAAACTGTTAAGTTTTCAACTGATTAAGACTTTGACGTTACAACACATGAATGGCTTTACGTGATCATGAAAAGTACTGAAAAGACAGACTGACTCCAAAAAAAAAAAGCGTATTCACTCTGGGATTTCTCGATATTGAAGGTGGGGATCAATTATACATCATGTCCAGGTTGCGTGCTTATGCTCGTGAATAAGCAACTGTGCCATACTGAAGCACTCCTCAAGTTTACCATGCCTAAGTATCCTATGGACATGCATTAATGGAGAGAGGTCAGAGATGTCCACTCACTGGGCACCTTGGCAGTGCGCCACCTGCCAGACCAATTCCCAGGCTTGGACTTGAACCTGCGACCCTCCGGTTCCCAACCCAAGTCCCTGCAGAGTGAGCTACTGCCACCCTAGTAGAAGATGAGAATTGTTCCTCTTCTTGCTCTCTGATAGTGATGATCTGTTTACGTTTGTATTCAGTTGTTTTTGGCATAGTTGCAGTTTTTGGTCTGAGAAAGAGAACGTGGGACTTCTATCTATCTCTGTTTTTCCTCAGATTAATGCACGTTGCAAAGTGCCACAGAAATCAACTTTGTTTTTAGAGAAAGTGATTAACTGTTTCAAATAGCAATTAAAAAAGACTACACGCTGTTTGGCTTTGGACAAGGTATAGCTGTGTTAAACAAAATCTGCTTGAGTGACTAGTCGAGTAATTTAAATTTCTGTTTAATTAACAGGAAAATGAGTTGATAGGCTTTTAATGCGAGGTTGTCTGTGAACATAATCCTGTAAATCAGCAATGCCCTTCATTTGAAAAGTAATACTTCAAGTGCAGATTATTAGCTGTATTTCATCAAGAGTAAGCACCATTGTGATACGTGTGTCCCTAATTATTTATGAAGGCTAAATGGGCAATTATCAATACAAGCTCTCACAGCTTTGGGTGCAAACTCAAGAGGCTCTTCGGGGCACAGATTGGCAGAGAGATCAAGCTCAATGCCATTAGAAGAGAAAAATATTGGACTTTTTTTTATGGATGAAATGCATTGCAGATTGCAGGGAGAAAAATGTATCTATTTTTCATCTGCTATTAACAGCAACTACAGGAAGTGAATGTTATGAAGAACCCTTGAAATGACATGTTGTGAATAACGTCAGTAAAATCAAGCAAAATGCTGACCAGACTTATCCCCCTGTAAATATCTAACATCCCAAAATCCTCATGAAAAACAGACATTGGCTGTTTCTCAATAACACAAGGTCTCCTGGTAATTCTAGTCCTGTGTGAGTTAGGCTTTAGAATTCTTTCTTGTGGGGCGCTGATGGCCTGGCGGTTAGGTGTCGTGGCACCCCATGTATGGAGGCTACAGTCCTACAAGTAGGCGGCCCGGGTTCAAGTCAGACCTGTGGCCTCTTTCCCCCCCCATATCATTCCTCACCATCTGGCCTGATGTCCTACTCCATTCACTGTCCTATCAAATAAAGGCAAAAAGCCCAAAAATTCAATCTTAAAAAAAAAAAAAAAAAAAATTCTTCCTTGTTATTCATATCATTTTTGTTGTTGTAAATTCATAGTCAGTGATAATTGTGGGCGCTAAAGGAACAAGGCAACGATACTGGAGAACATGATTAATTCCCTGCACTTTGGGTGGGTTTAGTTAGAGCTAATGAGAAAATGGTTACAGCTCCGGAGTGATAATATGCTTAAATTCATCAGGTATCACTGCTGAATTTTGGCCTCTCAGACAGATTTCAATAAGCAGAGATATGCTAATCATGCAGGAGAGCAGCAAACAATTGGAAAATGTATAAAAACGAATCTTTATGAGAGTGTGACACAAGTAAACCTAATCACACCTATTGTAATTCAGCTCCTTTATGGCCTTTACTTATATTTGTGTACAGATTGCTACATTATTACATATTCTATTATCATGTTTATGTCAGCATTTTTGCACTACTCATCACTGCACCGTTGTCTTATTGAGTCTTGTACATATTTGCTTATTTTGAGCTACTATGTGATGTTAATGTTGTACTTTTTGTGCATAGAGAGCTCAGTTCACCCAAGTCAAATTCCTCATTTGTGTAAGCATACCTCTTCAATAACGCTGATTCAGATTCAGATTGCAATGCATCTTTAAACGTTCATTAAACGCACAGTATACAGTGTTTCCACTAGTTTTACAGTGTTGGGGGGGTGGGGGGGGGCTGCCGACATGCCGACACAAACACTTGGAATCTTGGTGTTCATGTGTTACTTTTAATGACAGCTGTCCTTTTCTATCAGAAAGGTATCCTTAAATGAGTTCTTTCCCTGATTTCTGACTCTACCCACTATCCTATCTCTACAATAAAGACCCAAAAAATCTTTGAAGACCTTCAAGGGGGGGCCCTAATATAATGGTAGGGGAAACACTGGTATGTAAATTCCACCACCAGGGAGATCTCAACCAAAACAATAACAAAAATATTAGGTTGAGGCTGGCGGGGAATCATGGGAGTTCTCTCTGCTACCTCCCCCCCTACCCCTGATGAAAACGAACTCGGAATTTGACCGTAGTCAAGACGAACAGACCTGAGGAAGAGAATATGTTCACCGACGATGTATCCAAGTATACTTAACATGACCTTTTTAATCTCAGCAGCACATACAGCAACAGTACGGCAGCTCTCAGTAGCAGTTCTGGCTTCCTTTTGCAGCGTCACAATCGGTGTTTCCACAGCAACCATAAACATGTCGTGTCTGTCAAGGCGGCTCTGTTATGCCGGCTGCCCCGACAAGACACGTCCCGTTACAACAATAGATTTCATGATTTCTCTGGTTTGATAACTGTTGGAAATATTTGAGGTAATTACTCAACAAAAAAATAAATAACATAGGTTTTAGTGAATTTTTTAATTGAGATATTTTAGTGTAAAAGTTGTAATGAAATTCTACTCATTAAATCCCTAAGGACTGGGTAGTGGTTTCTTTCATTCAGTCAATGGCAGGTCCCTGCAGAGCCATCTCAGGGTTGTGTTTAGGATGCTTTTACAAGCTCTTCTGGGTGTTTCTGGAGGCAATGCTGAAAAGCTGGATTGGTACGATTATATATAGTGAAAACATGTGTATAAGTGTGTGTGGTGTATTTCGAGTAGCTGCTGAGTCAGCAGTTTATCCAGTCCCCAAAGCAAGACAGAGCGAGTGAAAAAGCAAAGGAAAAGAGTTCTGCAGCAGCGGCAATACTTCTCTCATGACAGAGCAGATTTACAGCCAGCTTAATCATGAACACGTCGCTTCACTCCTTCACATCTACACTTGGGATATACTGCCACCCTGCTTCTCCTTACCTTATGTGACCTGTTTTCTTTTTCCCCTACTACTGATATCTTTGCGGTGTAAGCTTCAATGTGGAAGATTTCAACTTATTTTAAAACTACATTAACACACATTACATTAATATACATAGAGACTCGTTCAATTAGAAACGACTCCATTGTGTAGTCAAATCAGGCACCACCAACCAAACCTCAATTAGCTGCTACTCTTTCTCACTCACTCACTCACTCACAGAATCCTCAATAAGCAATCAACTGTCTCTCTAGAAGGGAGAAAATGTGATTTAGGCGGAATTAATCTGTTTGCTGCATAAATTTATCATTGTGAACAAACAAAGGCCTGTGGGATTTCTCACCATTCAATGAATGAGCAAAATGTAATCTAAGCGCTCTGGGTATAGGACTAGCCCTCCAGTTCCCAATGGGTTAAACATATTCATTTGTATATAAGTGGAGTACAATGCTGTTTCAAGACAAAATCTGAGATCATGGACAGGAACTACTTAGACAGAGTTTCTGAAAGTTTGGGCTGTCAGTAAAAGCTGATGTAGGCAGTCGTGGGGCAGAGGAAGCAGCCTCTATATTCTGACATCATGTGCTGTAACCTTAGAACCTTTTGATCAGTCAGCTCGATCAATTCTTCAAACAATGTCAGCGTCCTTTATCCTGAGCCGAACTCTGATCGGAATCTACACAGTGGATGAACATTTTCTGTCTCATCACAAAAATGCTTTAGACTTTTCGGACCTGGAGTTCTCACTGAGTTTGTATAAACTGTAAAATGTCTGATACAAATTATCTAGAGCTGGGACTGATGCGATCTTATATCGGTATCGGGTCTGACATTGATGTCATTTACGTATCAGATATCCGACTGACGTCACTGATCGTATCTTTTTCTATTGCTTTGTCATTCTGTATTGTTCGGATATTGACTGACCTGTAGTTGTTTACTCTTCTTCTTTGTCAATTAAAAATGTGTGTACCAAATATAGAGCTGAATCCAAACTAACCTTTCAAAACTAAATGTGACACCGTACTACAAACAAACCAACAGAGGAAGTCACAGATGAGTGTCTTTCATGTTGTGCTTCAAACACAGCAATGAGACGGCTGTGTTCTGGTTTAAAAATAGGAACATCACCCATAAAGAATCAACAAAAAAGGTTCTATTTCTGTAGTCATCCTTCCTGGGTGTTGTCAGACACATTGAAGAAGAACCTGAACGGGTCAGAAGTAGAAACAAGCTCTTTAAGGGTTAAACTCTGAGCACCTTTTGGTCCTTCAGACCTTAAATATGTGGGGGAAAATTGGTCTAAACTAGGGACCGACTGATATGGGATTTTTGGATCCAATACAGTTATCGATATTAGGGCGAGAAAAATCCGATACAGGTATATTGTTCGATATCTTTCTTAGATCTGTCTTAGATCAGCAGGTGGAACAAAACAAGAAACAAACCCTCAGCTCCCCACACTGCAAGCTGTCAATCAAGAAAGGACACAATAAAGGTGAAAACTAACTGTGCAGAAACTCTCTGTTAAAGTCTGAACACACACACACAAATCCAAAATAGCCCAGGGAGTAGGAGAATACAAAAAAACCTGCAGAGAAAATCTTGCTCTGAAAAAGAAAAGTCTCAGAGGGCTGTAGTGAGAACAACTCTACAGTACAGTGCGATAAAGAGAAAAACTTCTCTAAACAGCACCCTGGAGCACAGCCACTGTTTGGTAAAGCACTGCGAATGCTGCTGTGCTGTGCGTGATGGTGGTGGTGGTGGTGGTGACAGGTATACGGGCACAAATGATGGTGAGGTGAACAGCAGAGAAGCGCTGCAGGAAGCTAGAGCATTTAAGCATCAGATTTTTATTCCCTCCTTCGTCATAATGATGCCTCCATACAACACTTCCTTGTCTGTGAGCCCACTGCTGCTGCCTACTCTCTCAGCCCTTCTGTCCCAGTGTGACTCCGTGTGTGTGTGTGTGTGAGTGGGAGTGTGTGTTTCAGTGTGTGTGTATATACAGTCAATGTATTTTGGCCTGGCACTTTACCAAAGGCGACAGCTGGTCCTCTAGTTTTCTGCAGTGAGTGTGTGTGTGCTTGAATAAATAATCAAAATAGAGTGCAGAGGGATTATTATCCAACGTGTGTGTGTGTGTGTGTGTGTGTGCAGGGTGGGGTTGGGTAGGTGTGTTTGCGAGAGGGAGAGAAAATGATTTGACTTGACTTAGAGTTGAAGCATGTAATGATATCAGCAAGTCTGCATGGTAAAAAAAGAAATGATTATTTCTCTAGAATTTCTGATATACATGTTATGAATAATACCATAAATAATCATTTCTTTAACGTCAGCTTTAATCAGGTACAAAACTGACTGGTTAAATATTTTTCCCCTCTGCACTGACTTCCTCTTCCTGCTAATTAAATGCACCCGAGTGGGAATCTGTGTTTTAGATGCGAGTCCAAGGCCAATATGTCATTTTGTTTTTGCTTTTTAATTCATGCAACCTAAATGTAAACCTTGCACTGAGTAATGTGCACATGAGAGTGTTTACCTTTGTAATGGTTTCCTCGTCCACAGTGTCAGCTCCTATCTCTTTGTTGATGTAGAGCAGAGCATAAAGGTAGCCAGCCCGGCCGTACAGCAGCTCGTCTGGCATCTCAGAGTCCGAGCACAGCACCGACCGCTGCAACTGGAGGAGCCTGAAAAAATAAACACACACTCTAGTGTCAGTTCAACAACAGGGATAAGGTTGGGTTTACCATTAAAGATACAAAGATACGGTTCAACATAGAGCCCGACCGATGAATCGACCAGCCGATAATATCGGCCGATGTTAGCATATCCAGTGACTATCGGTATCAATATTACGACATTTATTCACCAGTCAAATAGCATTTCAATCGGGTATCATTGTATTACACTAGCAGTTGTCTTTCACCAGCAGAGTGTGTTATATGGACAAGCGTGATCACCCTCCAGAGTGTCAAGCAGTGATTCACGTCAATACACAGTTACTTTCCAGTTGAGTGTCCATCTTGTCTTCATTATTTATCCTTTCCACAAGTGTTTGATAACTGCATTTGAGGGATCTACACAATACATTTATATATCTATATCAAAGTAGCTTTACAGATGGAAGATAGATCAAAGAAAGATATTGTCTGGTATATCAGTATCCTCCCAAAGATCGATATCGGCCCCAAAAATCCCATATCGGTCGGGCCCGAGTTCAAAAGATAAAAACAAAGTAACTATACTTATTAATATGAAATAATATTTTGCTTTTACCTTAAAAACCTATGAAAAGTCTAACAATGGATGTAGCCTTCACAGCAAGAACTGTGTATAGCGGATGTGTGCATCTTCTTTGTCATGGAGCCCCACTAGTTGTCCAAAAGCTATTTTCAAACACATTGATGAGTCACACTGTTGGATTGGATGGCATGTTCCTTCCACATGTTATTACCACACAAACTGTAGTGCGTCACTCACTCCTACAGAGACCCCTACCAATGTGCTAATTCTTCCTGTTTGAGTAACATTAGGGGGGAAAACTACTGTGGTAAGCTTTGTAAGGAATTTATAAAGTCTGTTAAAATGTTCATGCATACATTGTTCATTTTCTGGGGGGTTTTTTTAATCCGTTTTTAGAAGGTTAATTTATATATTGTTTCTTTTTTCGCAACATTTCAGTCTTCAGCGGGAGCCAATTTGCTCCAAAGTGTCACAGAGAGGGTAGAAGTGTCAAAGTGTTATGACAAATACACGTTTTGTGTTTGGCAATAAAAATATAAAATAAAGCCAGCCTTATACATGAAAGACTCAGCAAGTATATTACACCAGGGGGGTGTAGATTAAAGCTCTACTCACTGTCTGAAATTTTAACTTCACATTTGAAAACATTTCGGAGTATGATTAAAAATAAAAAAAAAACATACATTTTTCTTTTGCATTCCATAAAAGACAAAGAGCATCTTTCTGAATGGTCACATCTCCACCAACGTCCACAGATCGGGTCTCTCACCTGGACAGACAGTCTTTGCTGTCAGCAGAGTTGTTCAGTTTGTGGTGGACCACTGCACCCACTGCAAGCGGCCCCGCATCCCCACACAGGAAGGTCACTTTACGTCCATTAAGGATCCGCATGGCCCTCTTCACATAGTCCAGTGCCCTCTGCAGGTGGGAGGCCTCATGAGACTCTCGGTGCAGCTGGAGGTACAGCAGGGCAATGCCTGTATTGGCGATAAAAAAAACAAAGGAATCAGTCGCCCGCTCAGCATGAAACATGCGGTTCACATGTCATCTGTGTTTTTTTTAAAGTGCTTGGGACAGACCTGTCCAGCCTGTGTATGTGGAGAAGTCATGGGGGTCTGCTGTCTTCAGGCCCTCCTCCATTTGCAGGAGGAGATCTTTGATTTTATTCTGGACCTTCTTCTGGAAGGCTGCACTCACCTAAGGAGGAGAAACAGAGAACTCTGAACCTCAACCATCTTCTTAACTTGCAAGTGTTTGCTTCGATGAGTCTTGTTATGCCCCATACAATGTCACGTTTAAGGACATCTTACTTGTTGTTGTGTTACAGTGCCACCTTGTTGTGTTTGCTTGTATTTATCTACCTTACTTTTGCTGTCATAGAAACTGAAAGTAAAATAGTGAGCCGGTGAGTCGGCTGCAGCACTTTGGATAGCTCAGTAGTTTCACATGTTTCTTCTACTCCTGCACACGAATGCAACGTCTGTATAAACATTGATATTATGTGTATTCATTTTAGAAAGGACGCGTTTTGTATCTATGTAGATGCTAACTGCTAAGCTTGTGTTAACTTTACCATTCATTTGTTTAAGATGCTGTATGCTAATGCTGTGTGGCTACATTAGCTTGTTAAACATGTGTAGACATGCACAGTCAACTGCCTTATTGTGTTTATGAATAATGACATTTTTTGTATTGTTTTCAGTTTCACAAAAAAGAAACCTCAGTAAACTTCATGAGAGTCAGCAACATTTTGAAGAGTTTTATTGGGGACTGTTTAACTGGTTGGATAGTTAGCTTCAGCAGCTAGCTAGGCCTACACAAGTCTACTTGAGCTTTAAAAATACAGTGTGGGCATTTTCAATTGAGAAAATCATCATCAATAATGTGAAATGAAAACAATCACAATGTAGCCCAGAAGATAAACATGCACTTAATAATGACAATGATAAAACATTAAAATTACAAAATGGCCGCTTACATTTTTCCCATAAATCGGCAAGCCAATAAATATCGGCCGATATTATTATATCCAGTGACTATCAGTGTCGGCTAATTTATCTTCTTCGTGGCTGTCACCAGCAGAGTGTGCTTTATGGATTACAACAAGCATGATCACCCTCTAGTGACCATCTTATCTACGTCATGTTTTTCACAAGTATCAAATAAACTGAAATGAAGGGATCACTGCAATAAATGTGTATATCTAGATCTATATATCTATCTCTCTCTATATCAAATATGGATCTAAAAAAGATATCGCCAATGTATCGGTATGAGATTTTTTTTCTCCCTGCAATTATCGATATTGGCCCCATATCAGTCGGGCCCTTATAGTTATATCACTATTATAACTATATCCCATGTAAACAAGCACAGTTTACAGATAGCATCTCCTGAAGATCTAGAAAATGGAGATAAAGTTGCTTCATCTCAAGTGAAATTAACACATTTTTGACTGTTCTGTGATGGTTTTCTTATCTTTGGACTAAACTAGTTGGCTGGGAAATCGCTAGTATTCCCAACAATACTGTAACCGTTGAAGTGTTTATACCGTGTCTGCGTTTTAAATTCAGTCGACTTCTTTGAGCTTTGAATTCCCTAAAGTTTTCAGCACATGTTTTTTTTGTTTTTTTTTGGTCACAATGACAATGTGCTGACAATACATTTTGCCAGACTTGTTCTTTGAGAACCCAGGAGCTGCAGTATACATTGGCTTTGGTAAATCCATAGGTCATAAGTGCTTTAAAAGTGTGTCATTCTGTCACATAGAGTGCTGAGCCCTAATCTTTTCTCAGATATCAGCCAGTAGGTTATGACCCAGACTCGTCATCATTATGGGTCATTTTAGGAAACACAGTATGTTAATGAGGTGATAATCCACACGGCTCAGGGCTCTATTTACCCTTTAAAGATGTAACAGCATAGGTCAGACTGCACTTCAAAGCCTGATTTGATCGTGCATATGGAGTTAATTAATTCTCTACAGGCTCCATTCACATTCAGCCTCCAGTGTGAACTGTATGAAGAGGAGGGGTGGGGGAGCTTCCACTTCAAAGCAGCTGCGGGGATTTCACTGAGTGTCTCTCACCAGCCACTTCTCCAACACACCGTGATGGGAGTCTGGGAGCTCACAAGAAATGCTGGAGCTATTTATTGGACTTAAGGCCCATTTACTCGCAGCCACTGGCCTGATAAATTAACAGGAAACACTTAAGAGAATAGGTTTCACAGCTATGTCCAATCTGTGCTGCTGCTTGTGAAAGCCAGTCATGTGCAGACTATTTTTCACCAGCTGAATCCAGTCTGCATTTAGTCACCCTTTTACTCCACGTACATAAGGGTGGGCAACCTAAGAGAGGCATGTTACTAACTATTATTCTTGTCACTATTGATGACTCAAAGTAGCTTTCCCTGACATCTCTAGCATCTGGCAAATGGAGTATCACCTAACTCACTGTGTATTTCTTTTTATATTATAAAATAAAGCACTATATCTCTGTCTTGCTTTCTTTTCATGTGTAAGCCGAGCAGCCCTTCAGGAATAGGTAAAAAAGCAAAAGCTGGTGTCTGGTTTAAAATGGGTTTTTTTATTGTTCTTAGGATACAAGGACTGATTCACTCTACAGTACAGAACTTTATGATGTTACTTTATTTTTGTGTCCTCAACTTGGATTATTAAATAAGAAGAAGCTGAAGAGCCAATCAGCTGTAAGGCTGATAAAGTATATTCAGCCACTGACTTAATGTCAGGCTGCTCCTGTCTCTGATTTGTCACAAGTAGCTTCTCTGGGTAATGTATGAACTGGTTAAAGTTTGCAGTACATTTTTGAAGAGGATTGGTTCAACGGTCAATACGAGGACTAATCCTAAACCCAGGTTTTTAGGATGAAGGGAAATGTTGGCTTTCTTGGCATTTGTATCTTTTTGTCTCCTGGAGTGCAGACTGATGCAGAATCGAAATGCCTGCCAGGGATAGCCAAGAGGAAGTTTAGGCAATTATAACTTGGATGTCAAGCGCTCACCTTCGTTTGAAATGCAAACTACTGCGACGCACACTGAAAATGACAACCCAAGATATATTTTAAAGGAGGTTTTGGAAGAAGACGCATTTCACATTCCTGCCAATAGACGGGATAGGTCATGATTGTCAATACTTCTTGTTGCATGTTTTAAGAAACGAAACAATGGAAGAAAAAAAAAACTTAGATTATAAAGAAAGGCAACTCAGTTAACAGGTGAAATAAACAGGACAGGAATTAAATAACGTAATAAACCAACTGACTGCAAAGACCCTTGTGTTTGTTGAGGGAGTCGTTCCAAATGCATTGCTATGTCGCTCAGGGAAGCACTTTGCCCGGCCATTTTGTTTCGTTTTCTCTGGCATACACTGACACCAATAGTCGATTAGGGGTGGGAATCACCAGAGTCCCCACGATACGATATTATCGCGATACTCAAGACACGATACGATTCTATTGTGATTTTAAACATTTTGCGATATGCTGAGAATTGCGATACAATATGTTGAGATTGAGCTTTTTAACTGCATGTTATGTTCACTACACTAAACTAAATCAAGAACTGTTTTGTTAAATAAATTAAAAATCTCAGTCTATTCGTCTCTCTTCAGTCTTTTTATTTCTACGCAATGGGAGTCAAGCTCATAGACTGACCAACACTGTGATCAAAGTCAAACCCTGTGAAAGGCTGCATGCACCTCACAATCTGAACTGTTGGTATTTCAGTCTAAGCAAACTTTAACATTCATTCTTAACAATGCAACTTTGTCAAATTGAATTGTGCAACCCCTTCAGCAGTTAAAAAATGAAAAAAGCATATCTGAAATATCATATTAAAAATATCGATATACTTGGCTGCCATGAGACAATATTATATCGACACACAAAATATTGCGATACTATGCTGTATCAATTTTTCCCCCCACCTCTACAGTCCATTATCTACCGTGTTCTAGTCTGCTCAGAAAATCTATTTAACCTATTTTATTTCATATATTTTATTTTATGTACAACAGAACAGATAAACGTGAAGGCCAAAAACCAAAAGAGTCTGAACAGAGGCCGCCCTCTGTCCCCACACAGAGAGGATTATTACCACTCCAGTCTGATCTGTGCGCTCTGAGTCATCGCTGCAGTCATCCATAGATGGAGGGATCAATAGTGAAGGAAAGAGAACAAAGCAGAGGCAAAGTGACAGACAGGATTGTTTCACAAGAATGAATTTCTGTTTAGCATAACAATGGTGTATTCAGGAGAATGAAAGTACTGCCTGCCGCTGTGCACAACACAGTACTATACACAGATCATACACAGCAAGGCTAGTTATTTTCCTAATTGGGTTAGATTTTACACACAAGTATAACTGTTTGAAAAAGCAACTCTCTCGTTTATTTAAATGGAAAGGTGTAATGGGTTATCTAACAATTCAATCATAAGTCATCGGGCAAAAAGAAAGAGCTGCATTTTATTCAGCACGATATGTGGTCAATTAAGACAAACACACAAGTGCCCATTCCTGGCATAAGGCCTGGTAATAAGAACGGTGTTTAAAGTACGTTCTACAAACAAGAGATAGAAATGAACAATCAAATCTCAGTGATAACTTTGTATACTTGTAAAATCCTGTTTCACATCGTTGAAGAGCTTCGCAGCAGTTTTCCATCAGAGAAGCCTTCAACCTTATGGACTCCCTTCTCAAACAATTCTACAATTCAATTAGCAGACGCTTTTATCCAAAGCAACGTACATCAGAGAGTAAAGGTAATGCAGGGTTAATTGTCTTGCCCAACGACACATCAGTTGCTCAGTTGGGGATCGAACCCTTGACCTTTTGGTTCAGAGCCGACGACTCTACCAACTGAGCCACAAGCCTTCCTGCATCCATTATCTCACTGAGAGTCATCACGCCCCACTACCAACAAAGCCCATTGTGTTGTTCTGGCCCTGTGCTGAGATTTAGAATAAGACACTATTGTAGGCCTGACAATGTCATACATGCTCTACAATCAAAAGTATCATCAAAATCCATTATTTTATAATTGTAACGGGACGTGTCTTTGCAGCAGCTGCCATGACAGACACAAAACGTTGCCAAGGAAACACCGGATGTTACGTCAAGGACCGCTGCGTAAAGCTGCCGTACTGTTGCTGTATGTGCTGCTGTGATAAAAAAACGTCATGTAAATTATACTTGGATACATCGTCGGTAAATATATTGTCTTTCTCAGGTGGGTTTCGCCCGTTTATATTGACTACAGTCAACACAGAGTTTTCAGTCGGGGGGGAGGGAGTATTATTTCCCATTATTCCCCGCTAGCCTAGGAATCAATTTTTGTTATTGTTTTGATGGAGAGCTCTCTGGCGGCGGATTTTACAAACTGTGCGTTTAAAGCAATAAGATGTACATTTTGACATCTATCCCATGTCGACACCACAGCACTATGTAAGTTTGGCAACAGCTGCGATTCTCTCTCAAGAACAGCATACGGCTTTGCGGTACCAGCCAGTCAGCCCGTCTAGGATGAAGCTAAGAAGATAACATGAGAGTGACCGAGCAGGAAGCAGAGCGTACATCCCTGCAGATATTATTCATAACTGATTGTCATGTAACAACAGGATGTCTCGCTGTCATTGTTGTCTCATGTTTAGCAGCTTTACTGAGCGCAGAAGTAATCTAACCACAGGAATGACTCATGCTCGCACACAATTAAATAAATGAATCCATCTTACACAAAAAGTTGTCTCTACATCAGGCTGTATCAGAGTCCTATTTGCAGCTTGTCTGTGATAGGGGAGCCATAAAACAGCGCTGTTTTTGACAGAAGTGCAGTTGCACTCAGAAAGCTTAGATGGGCGCCAAAACTCACCCAACAAAAACACTACATAAAGCTCCTGTGAGAAACTATTGATCTGCATGGACTTTGGCGCCACCTGTGGACAAAAGGGTGTGTAGTCTCTCTTGGCTGTTCTTGTCCTGTATAGTTACTGTAATGTTGTCCTAGAAAAATCTTATAAAATGCTGTTTGCTTTAAAAAAAATAAAAATACAATCTGTTTCTGCAGCATGTTGTAACTTGTAAGCAGCAGCAGCTACCAGTGTAAAAAGAAAAAAAAAATACAGAATTGAATAAGTCAGCTTCTCCCTGATGGTCTTGTTTGCTTTTGTAGCTCATACACATGCATCACATTTACTTTCAGTCCATTGCAACAACCTGTTAAAAAAAAAAAAAAAAAATCTTACAGTGGCAGAATTCCTTACAGGGCTCTGGAATAATACAATACTTTAATTGCAATGTGTTTATTTATTTTTTTTCAGCTAGCTGAGCCAAATAAACTTGCAACGCAGTGCACACTGTTCCTCTGCTCCTGCAAGTGACACGCATACATACACGGAGCTACCAACTAATACCACTGAGCCTTGTATTTGTTAAGGACCCCAGAGCAATGACACATTGTTACGTTAAACAACTTGAACTGGAAATCTTTAGTGAAGATGAAGACTAGTCAAAGACATGTTTGCATGTAGCGTCCTTATAGGTGAGGAGCAAATAAACGTGCATGAAAGCCTTTGACTTGTGAAATGTCAACCAATTTAAACTTTACAGATTGATACAGAGCTTCAAGTTGTGGTAAATAACTGCGACATAAGTCCAATCCTGAGCCAAGTTAGCCCTAGTTTCACTTAGCACTTCGACGTATGCTCATAAAATAAAAGCAAAACATCCCACCTTTCCTTCCGCATCAAAAGTCTCCTCCTGGTAGTCTTCTTCTGCTCCTGAGTTGGAGGTGAAGGCACCTTGGTCCAAGTCGGGGTAAGGGTTTGGAAAAGAGCGCTCCTCCATCTCCGCCTCTGTAGCCGAGATCAGCTTCAGCCGCTTGGACACGTTATCTCCCATGGCTACGGCGCCTCGGCAGGGACAAAAATCCTCAGGCAACACCAGTCTACGGAACGTAACAGTAGGGAATAAGAAATCGCGTTGAGAAAATACAACTCAAACCAAAGTAAACCGAATTCATGTAGAGGAATGGACGAGAATGGGGAAATGACGATGCAATATTTTGAAGTGTTTCAAGTCTGTCACAGTGGGGGGAATACTTCCACATTGTCCGACTTTTTAAACGAAATAATAGACTTTCAGAACAAGTTGTTTTTAAAATCATTATAAAGACGGGCTAAAGGGGGGAAAGCGTGTTTTAAATGACTCTTGCTTTATGAGAAATTTCCATAGAGCAACAGTGACAAAATGCCACTAACTTTAATTTTAAAGAATACCGCAAATATTTGATAGCCTTTATTTGAACAACCCTATTTTGCATTTTTTTTTCACTAAGATGCGCACTTTTCATTTAATCTTTTGATGTAGCCTATCATTTTAAATAGGCCTAGTGAAAAAAAAATCTAATTCAACCAGTAAATGGTTACGTTTGTAGTTCACATAGGCTATTTGTACCAAAAACTTGGAAAAGCTGTAACAAACTGGGAAGGGGGGGGGGGGAGTTTTCTTCGGTTCAACTTTTAAATCAATGTCTTAATATTTAAAACAGCTGAGGCTAATAGCCATTCAGATGAATTAACTTTGGCATCTAAATAAAAGAAACTTAGGCGAATGAATGTCACCTTGAGTAGGCTAAGCTTTCTATAGCCTTTAGGCCCCGACAGTGGTTAATATGAAATCATATTCATGCAATCAATTATCAATTTATCTGAAAGTACAACATTTCCAACCCTCTTTGTTTCTGTGTAACAGAAGAATGAAATGTGAAGGAAAAGTGAGCACAGTGAATTTGCAGACGGAAATGCCTCAGTGGAAACAATTGTTGCTGCTCTGTGATTCTGGATCATTAGCAGCCCGAGCTACAACACTGCAGGTAATGACAGGTGGAGCCCAAGTCGGACTTACCACACAATGTGATCAGCAAGGATATCCAAGCAGCAGTCCGTACTGTCCCCCGGTGTCTTCACAGCTTGTTTGTCTGTGCTTGATTCTGGTCGTTTGTTGCAGCAGCCTCAAGCCTCCCAGCAGCGTCTCTCAGCATCCCCCTCAGTAGTCCAGTCTTCGCTGTTCCCCGATGAATGGAAAGTGGAAGCCGCAGTCAGAGCATGCAGGCGGTACAGTCAGCCATGTGTCACCGCATCACTGTGTTTCTCTCCGTTTCTCCCTCCTCTGTGCCCTCCCCGCCTCTTTTTCTCGGAGCTCACTGAGCCATCAGAGTGCTGCTGATGCTGCTCGGCAAATCAGAACCCCCCCCCCTCCCTCCTCTAACCTCCTCTGCCCTGCCCTGCCCCTCCTCCCCCTCCTCCTCCTCCCCCCAGCTTGAAAGACAGTACAGACCACAGACCACCACAGGCTGCAGGAGGTGTCCTAACGCACCCAGCAGCACACCTATCTTATACCCACCAGAACCCGTATGCATAACCTATCATAAGACTATCATTCAGGGCCCAGTCCGGTTCATGCTGGTACCAAATGGTGACAGATGGTGTGAGATGCTGGCTGGGATTAGGCAATAGCAAAAAAAAAAAAAATACCACCCCCACCCTTTCCACACACACACACACACACACACACACACACACACACACACACACACACACACACACACACACACACACCACCCCCCTGTCGCCTCTTTCATCAATCCTCCTCTCCTTTTTCTGTCACTTTCTCACATAGCTTCAAAGGGTATCCTTTTCAGGATTTGCACTTTGCACAAATGCATCACTAGGTGCATTTTGAGCACCAAACATTGTAATCTATCACTTGAGTCCGTTTCACTTGGATTCCCAAAATAATTTTACACACACGGAACATCTTTTTGCTTTTATCTCCATTATAATTTCCATGAACACTTTCCTGATTCAACTTCTGCGAGATCAGAGCACTAATGGCATTTCATTCCGATATTTCCCATCCGTCCTTACATCAGTCTGTGTCTGTGGAGCAGAGTTTCAGTAATCCAGTCCAATAGACAACACAACCTTTAAAGCAGCTGCAGCCTGACCTGCAGGGATCTGCTTTTCCAATGAAGCTTTCTGTCTCTTATCTGGTCTCTTTCTGTCACACCACCCACCATCAGAAGAAATGAGCAAGCTCTAAATGAATACATGGGATAAGTGAGACTCACCTACATTATGGTAGGACAGATAAGCCTCCTAGGTTTTCTGTATGTGTCTGACTTAGACATGTTATGTTCACATTTAAAGGAATCCCTGTTATCCAAAATGCCATGAAGGCAAGATTTTCTGAGGACAGAATTTGTTGATTAAATTATTCAGAACCTTTTTTTTTCTGCAAATTGAAACATATTTATGACTGCTGTGGATGGCTCCAGTAGGCCTGGAAATATACACGAGGCATGATCAGTTCTGTTCAGACCTTTATTGTCAAATAAAGGCAAATTGGATTTACAGCAGTGGACAAAAAAAAACACAACAGATAAAAAGTACATAGGACAGTGCAACAAAACCTGGTGGAATACAACCAAGAAAAATGTTCCTAAACAGTTTCACTGGAATGGTAGCAATATAAATAAAGTGCTGCTTGAAAGTGCAGTCAATAGCAAGCTTGATCAAACTTAACACCTCTGGAACTTAAACTCTCGTGGATGTATGTGACTGGCCTACTCAGGGCACAAAATAATTTACACTTGGGTGCGTCGGTACTGGAGAACTTTTTTTTTTTTTAAATTGACGAGGAGATACCCGCACACCAATTCCACTGGGTTTAAAAATCTGAACCAAAAAGTCCACAGGCTGAGATGGATGCAAAAATAGTCTCTTCAATTTAGACATGAGTGGTAAAAAATATAGTTGCTCCTGTGCAATTACCTAGCCAGGTGTGATCAATCAAACAAGTGGTTTTGAAATAATTTATTGAGACCAGCTCACTGACTTTTATATTATTTTACCATTACAATGTGACTTCTTTATGTAAGTCAAAGTTTTGACTCATGGGGCTTGACTAAAGGTTAGGGCGTCATAAAAAAAAAAAAACGACAGTTGCTGTATACTCTTTCATCCCTCTGTGATGCTAGAAATCTAGGGCCGTATTCACAAAGCTTCCTAAGTACTAGCGCCTCCTAGAGACAAAATTCTGAAAAAATTCTGAGAATCATTACATTTTCTAAGAAACTCCCCTTGAAGCTCGGACTAGATCCTTGTGTGGATCAACATTGTTCAAAAAGCTTATTCATACCCAGCAACAGGGTCAACCACACCGCCTCACTAAGATAGAAGTTGCTGTCCTTTCCTCGCTCAGTTCCTAAACTACTGTAGGACTCCTTGCTATAGGATTTTTTTTTAGTTAAGTTAGGAGCTCTCTCAGAGGATTCTCAGAATCTTTATGAATACGGGCGCTGGGTTTTGTATTGCCTTTTTCACACATGTACTCATGGAAATGACACGTCTTGCCTGTTGACCTCATTGCGGGAGACTTTCCGCAGGGGGTGAGGTCTCAGTAGGCAAGAGATGAAGTAGAAAAGACAAGTTGGAAATGGCGGACGAAGCAACAACAAGTGTCAAACACTTTAATGACAGCTTTTGCCTTTATATCAGTGCTACATGTATGCCTTCAAACAGAAAAGAGTAGAAACTCAACTACTGCACACCGGTTGTATGATATAGACCCCACCACACACACATACACCACACACTCTTACGGTGAATTTTTCTATTACCTGCTGCATTCACAAAGCTCCCCCCCGACTTCACAAGTAAATTTCACCTTTGAGGCTGGGCAGAAGCGTTCTGTGTCGAACTTGGGTGAAAAAAAAAACATTGGCTGCGTTCACGCTTCATTGGTGCAGCACATCCCGAAAAATTCTAAAACCTTTCAGTTGCGCTACTAAACCCATCCAAATTCAAGGCCAAACTTTTTGCTGTCAAGTTGCCTTATGGGTAATTTATTGCCAAGGTTTTGAGAGAAATGCTTTTAATTAGAAAGATGAAATCTCTTTTTTTTTTGTAATTATAGAAGGAAAGTCTTCTATTACCTGAGTTAGTTCCAGATTCACAGCTGCATACATTCCAGCACACAACATGAGACAAGACAGAAATGTAGGCTAACTTATAGCATTTAGCCTAAGGGGTTTCGGGGGAAGAGCACTATAAAGAGCATGTCACATCTCTGAAACATGTGCTGGTTGAGCAATTAACATGGTTCACTTACGTAATTTGTACAGCAATCCCTGTATCTTACTTTAAACAGAGTGTTACTGCTTGATCACTGTGTCCTGCATCAACCCCCAACCTCTACTCAGAAGGAGATTTGGGATGAAATCATTAAGGGCAGTAGTGGTGTTTTAATCCCTTGGAGGCTGGCTGCAAACAACACATGTAAATGCTGTGAAAATGGAGAGTTTCTGTGTACGTCTCGTCAGTTGCAACAACCTCTTATCGCACCTCAGCAGCACTGGATCTGGTCCCTTTTATCTATAGCTTCTTCTTTTTTTCATGAATCTTAAACATTTCCAAAAGTTTCAGCAAAGACAGACAAGGTAAGTCATAAACAAATGGGGTGATGCACAGATACTGTGCATGGAAGGGACAGCATATGGCAGCTCGAGGGCCCTGCAGTCCCCAGAAGGCAGATGAAGTGGTGACTGGTACAGGTTAGTCATCCAGGGTCAACACAGTGCAGGTAAAGCCTGAGGGGTTAGCAGAAACAATCACTTCACTTTTTTTTATTGAATGACCATGTCATTCACCAAGTGCTTTTATTAATACAAAAATTATGATTCAAAAATATCAAAGACTTTTAAAGCTTTCTCTTCTTGATCATTTTGCTGACAGGCGGCAGAACTAAACTGGTGAATCTTCTTTCATCCAAATCTAGGTCAATTACATAGCCCATATGCTGATATGAGAGCTGGTATTATAAAGACAACAAAGAACAAAATGGGTTTTTGGAGGAAAGGCACAAGGAGTATAATACAGGTCAGACTGTAAATACCAAAGAAAGAGGTTACTTAGATCACAAACCAATTTTTGATGTGTTTTAAAATCTCATCACATTAACTCCACTTTCTGAGGGAAAGTCGTTTTTCTGACTCCAGTGTGTTAATGAGTTTGAAGTCCTAATGTGAAACAACATGAATAGTATGCAACTAATTCACTTTTTTTTTTTTTTTTTTTTACCAAATCTAGGACACTCTATGTGAAAGCATCTCATAATAACAGCCTAATGCCATTCCTTGTTAAAGTCCGGTGGGAAATCAGTTAGTTTCTTGCCTCCAATCCAACATTAACATCCATCTGTCATGTTTTACTGTAAACAGGCATGGCCAATAACGGCATGCGATTCAGGGCTGTTCAAATAGGCGTCGTATCGGAGCAAACAGGGTAAGCGTCTGGAAGAAAACAGTTAGAAGTTAGTTTCTCCTCGGCACCCGCTTAAACAACATCCATCACATCCAGCACGGCAAGGGATTGGTAACCGGACCCTTTGACGGAGAGCTGGCACCAGTAACTCCTGTACAGGGTTAACTTGTGAATTTAAATATTGCTTATCTTGTCTCCTGACCACATAAAGCACCTTTACTCTACATGTTATATTAACCATTTGCTATAGGGAGCAATTTGGGGTTCAGTGTCTTGCCTAAGGACACTTCAGCATGTGGACTGCTGGAGCTGTGACCAAACCACAAAAATCCTGAGATTAATAGATGACTGTCTGTACCGCTGAGCCACAGCCACACCCAACACCACAATTAATATCAAAACTCTTGCTGCCTTTCTGGGTTTTTTTTAGTTTTTCAACTTGGGGTTTCATGTGAATATTCCCAGTGAACCTATTTTTCCTAAATATCCAAGCACCACAGGATGCAACTTCCCTCTGACATCCTTGCTGGATGGAGTTGGGTAGCAAAGAAAACACATGTGAGAGAAGGCAACAGGTCTGCATAATGAAGGGCACTTAATGTTGTTTTTATTTGTAAACCGAACTTCACATAGCATTCACATGAAGGCATATTTTGTCATTATAGCATCATATAGTGGACTCTGTTGTTTCCTCACTTCTGCGTCTTTCCTTTAACATCACTTTTTGCCTGAGGAGATTCTCCCTCCCCTCTGACAATCGAAAGGACCAGGAGGATGTATGGTTGCAATTCCTCCTGAAATTCTCCAGATATTTTCCAGAGTGCATATGCTAAAACGGCATGAGAGACCAATGTCCTAGAGAAATAGACTGTTCCTT